CCATCTTCTTCATTCATGAGGAAGGTTACTGGCATCCAGATCAAAAGATCGAGGTGGCTTGATATGATCCATCTTTCACAAGTTACCCAAAATCAATCTCAACTCAGATATGCCGAACTTAAACAGATTTTCAGCCAGTTCTGTAGGGCACTCGGTTTCAATACAGCGTCAATTGAGCAATTCCACGATGCAGTAGCCGGTCATTTCTGGACGTCGAGCTGCGGGGACCCATGCACGTAACGTTCAGTGCACGCAATACATCAGCATTCCATCGTCAATCTCACACCGTTTCTGTTGACTTAACAACATTTCACTGCATACAGTTCATTTCTAATCACAATTATATGTTCTTGATTACTTCTGACACCATGTAAGATGACGCCTTAAAGTATAGAGACTCAACTTATGATTCAGAGTACGATTTTATTGGCATCATATATATCCCAATATACTTTTTAACGATAGCTGGCGCTATCACCAATATCATTACAGATGTGGTATTCCTTGGGTGTCTTATCCAGGTCTCCGTTGTCCCACCATAGGTATCTCAAGGCTCCAGCATCCCTTGGTGTTACACGGACTTGATGGAACATCCGTTCAATATCTGCTACAAGGGCTATCCTCTCTTGCCTGAATCGTAGGAGGACTCCAACCAGACTGTTCGTGAAGTCTGGTCCACTCAGGAGTTGGTCATTGAGTGACCCGTTACAGAACTTCGCCGCACAGTCAAATACGATTCTGACTCTATCTGGCTTCATTGTGTGTCTGACGGGATGGTGGGTTAAGATACCAAACTCTTCATCGCCTTTTCCATGGACTTCTTGTGCGAAGCCCTTTGTAATGTATCCTTCCATTGTTGTCTTGTACTGGGTGTGTAGTATCTTGTCATTCCCAAGCCTCATCTTCAGTGACTGGAGTCTTGACTCTGCCATTTTCTTATTATTCGGAAGAGATGGGGGTATTTCCTCCATGGTAGACCTACTTGATAGTGTCCATCTACCACTGCTACCGTCTCTTCCATGGTCTTGCGGGCCCTCTTGTCTTGTCCGAATCAGCTAGCCGTTTGTCTCTGAAGGCATGGTCGACCTCCCAGAACCATTGTAGCTGTTGTTCCAACCTTTCTTCATGCTTGGTGAAATTCACACTGTACGGAGCATCGGGTGCAGAGGTCATGGTTGGTCCCATGACAGTCCATCCGAGTATGGTTCCTTACTCTTTCCCTGTCGCTGATCCATCACCCAGAAGGCCTCTGTTGTATCGCTTCCAATAAGGAGAAGTACCTCCTTTTCATCAATTTTGAGTAGATGAATTCCACTCAGGTGTGGCCATCTGTTTATGTTGTCGTCGATGGGAATGCATGTTTGAGATATAGGCAGTTTGTCAACTGTCCATACCTTCAGTAGATCGATGCTCTCTCCATCAGAGACATTCTTCACCGTCAGGTTAACTTAAGGACCACTTAAGGAGCCAATTACCTCTTCTAGTACGAGGTGACAAGCAAGGCAGCAACTAAGCCCCCCACCCTCCCCGCGAGCGTGAATGGGGGGCTTAGTTGCTGCCTTGCTTGTCACCTCATCAACAATTTCACATCTTTTCAACAAATTCATCCGTTCGCAATCTCTCCTCCCTAATAATGGTTTCCCATAACCACCAACCACCTGAAAAGTGAGAAGATATTCTTGCTTACCGACCAGTACTTCAGTACTTCATTTATCGCCGGGCACGCCCTGTTTCTGTGCAGTTCAGGCACGCACTTGCTTCCGATTTCGGGGGCCTTTCTCCTTGTTCGTGTGACTACTCGTGGCGTTGTCGTGAGCGCTGAGGTTGACGTCGTCCTTGTCAGATGTAATCAGTTTCTGCAGGTACCCCTGGGCTGCAGGCGGCTTGTAGTTCGACCATCTCGTTGGCGCTGTTCTCGGCCACGCTGCACACGTCAATGCATTTCTTTAGGTTCAAGTCCTGTACTTGTAAGAGCTTTTCCCTGAGATTTTGGTCATGTATGCCACAAACAATCCTGTCTTTCAACAGGTCATCTTTGAGGTCTCCAAACTCGCATTCTTTCACCAGGGCCTTCAGATCTGTTATGAAGGAGCTCAAACTCTCACTTTTCTTTTGGTGTCTCGAATTAAACAAGTATCTGATGACCGAGAGGTTTCTCTTTGGTTGGCAGTAGGTGGCAAGCTTGATCTTCAGGGCGCTCAATGTGCCCGATTCTGTTTCGGTGAACATTAATGTTTCTGTTATCTGTTGGGCCATGGGCCCCGCCATGTGGAGAAATGTGGCGTATCTCATCGGCTCCGTCTTTGCCGAAAGTTCGGTGGCTCCTTCATAAAAATCATAGGCTCAAAGCCAGTCCTTGCAATTTTTTGTGACGTTTCCATCATAGGAAAGCGGTCCTGGGGGTCTAAGTCCCGACATCTTCTTGACTCCTGTCTTCCTTTTCTCCTGATACCATGTGATATATTGGAGGCAAGACAAATAGTACACGTCCGACACAGATAAGTTCCAGACTAGGAGTGATCTTTATAAGAGGGGTTTCACAGTGCCCCTGTAGGGTCATTACATAACTTTGTCTGGCATTAACATATACCAGTAGGTGGCGCCATTACATACATTGATATGGAGTTACATTGATCAGGATACATCACACGGTATCTTATAACCTCTTTTCACCTCCTCTTCTCTTTCTTTCTTTCTTTCTCTCCCTCTCTCTCTCTCTCTCTCTCTCCTCCTTCCTCTCTTTCTCTCTCCCTCTCTCCCTTTCTCTCTCTCTCTCTCATTATCTCTCCCCTCCCTCCTTCTCTCTCTCTCCCTCCCTCCCCCTCCCTCCTTCTTTCCTTCTCTCCCCTTCTCTCCCCCTCCCTCCCTCCCTATCTCTCTATCTCACTCTATTTTCTTCACCAACATGGATGCTTTATAATATAATACCTGGAGATATAATACAATACAGTTACATTGTTGACTTTATTAATACCAACAAACTACTGAACCAGAAGCGCAATATAAGAGTAATGTAAATGTTACACTAATACTTGTGTCTACCACAGAGTGCTACACACATATGTACTTAGTCCTTATGGTATTTAGGAAGGTTATGTATAAACATTTCTCGATAACAGACTCTTATAACAAGTAGTCTTCAGCACAGACTCTTAATTGACACTTTACTACAAATCCTAAAGCCCTGAGCAAGGCCTAAATATATGTCGGTCTTTTGCTGTGAGAGCGGCAAAAGTATAGAGTCTACTGTAGTCTCATTGTGCAGACACTGTAACACAAGTGTGTGTGCCTGCAAACGAGGTATCAAGTATGCATATATATATATATATATATATAAAGTGTGGGGGACGGGGGGGGGGTAATAATTTTTTTATCCAGAATGGGTTTGTAAATTGCAATCATGGTTAGAGAAAATCTTTATTATTAGAAAAAAATTGACCGTAATTGCTACCTCTTGTGAATGAAAAATCTTATCTGTTTGTTGTTAAATCTATAAAATGGCAAGATATTTTCAGTTTGTATAATTAGCATTGATTATCATGGAATATTGACATTGAAATGAAATAAACATTTCAAATTCAGAAATGTATTTGTGATCTGTTTTTTTTGGTACAATTTGAATGCAATTAAAAATTGTGTAAATGAAATGCTGTTCTTTAAAATGTACTATTCAATATTTTGCGTGGTCATGAATGGAATTGAATTGTTTGTAATTAATGAATTAATCTTGGAATATAAGGAAAAAACATAACTGAAAAGTTTTAAGCTGCTCTCCAATTTGCAATGTACAGAAAATTTCATTAACTTAAATTTTGATTTAAGTTATTGATGACGGAATAGATATGTTTCATACATGCAGGTGTTGTATAAAAACATATTTGCAATAATTATATTTAGGGCGACTGTATGATTGTAAATTTTCTTAGGTAAAATATATATTTGTGCAGTTTATTTTAGTCTATGCAAATGGGAGGGGGCTTTGCAAGATACTTCACGGAGTTACCAATTTTGTGTTTGATTAATCGCACCTTCAAAGATTCTTATCTTTCTTATTTTTAATCGGTTTTGCTATAACTTTCTCTGACCTGTATATCTCTCATTTTCTGCTTCTGGTAAAAACCAATTTAATATCAGGGTGGACTTCCCCTTTAAAATGTAAAATAGAACTTTAAGTTTCAAGCAAATATGTACCATGTAATGTATGCAATGGCTGAGGACTAACCTAAACACACACACACTTTCAGATACAGTAATGAAAGGAGTGCCAAGCAATATGTATGCAATGTCTACTACAAATGATTTTTCTCAAGTGTATATCGAATTTAAAGTACCAGATGACGCTGGAATGCTATTTTTTTATTTATAGATACGGTGCATGTGTGCTTTAGTTGTAAGAAACGCTTTTGGGTGCAGTACAATCATTGTTTAAATTTGTTTAGAAAAGAGCAAGGAGAGGCTGAAAAAATGAGAGAAACTCCATTAAGAGAAGATGAAAACATATTTGGGAGAGAGAGGAAAGGAGAAAAGTGGAAGAGAGAGAGGGGGTAGGGTGAGAGATACATGGAGAGAGAGGGGGGATAGGAGGTGAGGTGAGCGATAAACAGGGGGAAAGAAAAGGTGTGTGTGAGAGAGAGAGAGAGAGAGAGAGAGAGAGAGAGAGAGAGAAGGAAAGAGAGGGAGAAATAGAGCAAATAAATGGATCCTTGGAGCTGGAATGAAGGGGAGCACCTCTAGGAGAAGGAAGATAAAGGGAGAGATGGCAAAAGAGTAATGTAAATAGAGTTACAACTATATCTTGAGTATGTATATTTATATGTATAAGATCATGTGTAAACCCTACTAGATTCTGTCATTTCAAAGTTCAAATATCTTGAACTTTAGGGAGATTATTGGTTTGTTTTTAAGGCAAGATGGCAAAGGTTCAGAAAGTTCGTTTCTAAAGATTTTTTGGGTAAATTGATAATTTTAAGGGATTATATCTCAGTTTCAAGAAAAGTTTTGCTGATTAGAGTTCTTGGTAATCTATCCAGCTTTACAAGGTAAGTCAAATGACCACGAAACTTTTATTTATTTTGTAGATTTTCGAATTTTTGAAATATTTTCAAATGCTATGAAAACAATTATTAATCAAATTTAATATCTCTTTAAATAATTTGCTGAATATTATTTTGCTCTCTATCAGATTTCGGTAGTTTTTTTTGTTTTTTTTGGCCCTGCTGTTGCGGTACATTCGACATCCTTCTGCAAGGGTGCACGGCCGTCTCTCTACATGGTTTTTAACACTCGACTGATATTGACTTTAACCTCCAGTGTTGGTTCATGTGTTTCTAAAAGAAGAAAAAAGTTACATATTTTAGCAAGAATTCTTTATTTCAGCAATAAAATCTTTTTGTCTGTGCCCAAATTTGCGTAAACCATAAGGAGGGGGGGGGGGGTCGGATAGGACGACGGACGTTTTTTTTCCACATTTCTTAACTTTTTACTTTATACTATCATGATTTAAAAAATATTTTAAAAATGTCTTTAGTATTGTATTCAAAGCAATGCTATTTATAGTTATTTGCGAGGGAACGAAGCAAGCGAGGTAACATTTTGGCCATTCTGTTTTCTTTTTTAACTTTTGAAATGCAGATTTATTATTTGTAATGCATGAATAAAATACTAATTTACACTTTTTTGAAGACTTCAATCTAATTATATCCTTATCAAGTAAAAAAAAAGGGGGGGGTTGATTTCAGTCTTTACGCTCATTGGGCTATACCTGTTAGGAAATACTTTAACCTATTTTTCCTTTTATTTTATTTTTCAAGTTGGACAAAAGTGTTGGGAGCCTCAAATTCGTCAAAAATATGATGGTAAAATTTTACTTAAATTGTATCATTATGTGAAAGAGGATGTCAATTAAGACACACATCTGCAAAGATTTCCCTCGAAAAAATGTGTTTGAAAACAAATATTGATAATAGACTACATGATTTGGGTTTTCTGTAGTACGAAGAAAACCTTAATTTTATATTCTTTCATCAATATTCGACTTCATACACATCTGTTTTAAAAATCCTTGCAAAAGTGTGTCTTAAATGACATCCTCTTTCACATACCGTTTAAGTGAAATTTTGCCATCAAAATGTTGAGGCTACCAATACTTTAGAGGGGCTTTAAAACTTCTGTTTTGCGCTATCGCATTGCGCCCGACTAACGGAAAGGGGGAACAAATATAATAGCTCATGAGGTTTTTATCATCAATTTGATGCTTATTTAACTTTAAATGATTGATAAAATATGACCAAAACAATTTAATCAATTATTTTAGAGATGTTATGTTCATGAGATCAACAAAACCACTGGCAACCTTTCATCTTTATGTATCCAGAGAAAAAAATAGAACTATACCAATCGATTGAAACACACAATCAACACCATCTGGAACGGCGAGCGGAAAAATAATATGAAGGTTCGTCACTCGGTAGAACAGCTGCTCCCGTTACTGGTGCCTCAGCCGAAGAGCCGATCGCGATCGGACAGTGATAGGAGTGTGCAGACATTCGGCGGAGTGCAGTATTGGTCTCTAGCAGGGGGCTTAGATGGTATGGCTATCCTTCCGAAGAGATACTCGAGGGCCTTAACAAGACATCATGCACTTGTCTTTTTCCTTACATTTTTTGCGTAAGTAAAACCACTGTAAAGGGTGGTTTGATTTTCCTTTTCATCATTTTTGTTGTTGTTATATAGTTATATTTCATATTATAGTGTTGCGTAATCTAATTTTCAATTTCATTTTTGTTTTGGGTTTAGTTTTTGTTAATGTTGTGTCGTGTGTGTGTGTGTGGGGGGGGGGGGGTATCCAGCATGATTTGTATTTACTTTTTTGTCACTGTCTGCTCAGTTCTACTATAATGATTATTGATGGTGATTGGTGATGGTGACGATGACGACGATGGCCGGTAGTGAAGATGGCCGGTTGTATGAGAAATTAGCTTCACTAGGGATAAAAGTCACTATACGACTAGGAAGGAAGACATTGCATGACGAATATGAGACTACATGATTATTGTTGGGGTTTTTTAAATATAAAAAACACTTGTTAACTACTGTATTTCAAATTATCCGTGCAACTTTCTCGATCTGCAGAACCCCTAGACTAACTTTCTAACTCACCTTATATGCACAACAGCACTGAATTTAGACGGAATCCACTTTGAATACAGTAGTTATTGCGATGTGTACGGTGGTTTCTCTGACAGGCTTTAATGTTTCCAAAAGAAACGTTTGTTCAAGAGGTGTGCATACAATTAGTAAACAGCTCTATGCTTAAGGCTGGCTCGTTAAAAGCATTTAGGCCATTTTGGTAATGAAGTGCCTCAATACAAATTATTTCATTCACCTGATAAGAAAGATAGTATTTCAATGAAAACTGTATAGATTAAGTGTTGCTATTTAGGGCAAGCCATATTGTTTGTCCAACCTGACAACATCTAATGTATGTAGTTCGGATTCTGTCTATTGAAATACTATTATTCCTATCAGGTGAATGAAATAGTTTGTATCGAAGCACTTCACAAAGACGAGTACATTGAATCTGGTTAACATTACGAAAATCCGGGACGAAAATAGCCTATTGGATAAATCCGGCATTTCCTAAAGGCGAATCCAATCTTGTAATAAATTGAATAATAAATTGAATGGAAGCACCATATTTTTTTTGGTTCGACGGGGGGGGGGGGGGGGGGGGGGGGAGGGGATGTATGGAACTCTATTTCTTTTTTTACTCAACACCCCCCCCCCCCTTGAGCAAAACAAATAAAATATATAGTTATGTTTTGTTTTGCCAGGGGAGGGGCCCGTCTTCTTCTTTTTTTCTTTTTTTAATGTAAAACGTTACCATCTTTTTTTTAACCTATATTTTTTTGGCCAGGGGAGGGTGGCCCGAGCCCCCTAGATCCGCCGCTGGTACACAACACCCCTGACTTGAAATAGAATCGAACTTAATCCATCATTTCATATTTCTTTCATATCGTATTTTTCGACATAATTATAGGTTTGTGTTCATTCACGCGGCCAGGAAGACATTCAGTAATGTCAGGACAGCCCTGACAGAAACATGGACCTTGCTACCACTCAATGAGACCATCTTCCCAAATGACACAATGGTGAGAAGGAATATTCATTACAGAAAACTGATAACGATACAAAGTGATAATCTGTTGCTCCGGATCCTTTCCTTGTTTTCACGAATATAAACGACAATGCAGTATTGATTAGCCATGGAAAAGATGTAACAAATTAAACAAGACATTGAATTCGTCACAGAGATGATTTAGGAGTGATCTGCCACTTTGATCGAGAAATAACACATGTAGAAATTCAAAGGAAGATTAGATACACTAGATGACGACACGCATCAGTAATATAAAAAAAATGTTTTTGTTAAGATCAATAATTATATTATATTGACTGGGCTTGAGGGGTATATCAGATATATTGACCAAGCTAAGATCATATTGCCCCGGGTCGAATTTTATTCCCATTAACCATGTCATTCATGAGATATGAAGCGAATAAAATCCAAGACCGTTAGGTGCTCTGCTATGCTACGCGGCAGATCACCTAATAAATCAAGGGTACAGACACTATGAATATGACTGACAAAGAAAGCGGACAAAATATACAGTTCCTCAGGTAGACAAAGGAACATCCCTTCACTGCTATTATGTAAAAATGTGTAGAACAGGTGCCACATGCATATTCACTTTTTACATAAAAGCAGTGAAGGGATGTTCCTTTGTCTACCTGAGGAACTGTATATTTTGTCCGCTTTCTTTGTCTGTCATATTCATAGTGAGAAGAAGAAAGAAAAGAGCTTGAGAAACATTCTCTTGAAGGAAATGTGCGTCTAAAGTCATAACTGATGCTTCAATTTCCATCTGTGACTAGGCGAATGCAACGGAAAAGTTTAATGTCGCTCTTTTATTATTATTATTATTATTTCATTTCAATATTCTGAGAGTGATTTTGTATGCCAAGTCGTGTAATTTGTATCATATCTTGCTGGTATGATCAGCGCCTATGACAACATCAATTATGTATACCTTGAATGGTCTGGCTTCTGTCCGCGTCTTTCGAATGTCAAATGTGTAAAAATATTCCGGACATTTTTGTTTTATTGTGGATATATGTAATGGGCTGATATACTTCTGCATGTATATATTCTAGTTCGGGTCAGTGGATGGATATCTAAAACGGTTAAAGGTTGCTAGACCTAGTTTCGGCCACTGAGGGTGTTTGGTGTGTGTGAATTGGAAATAATAGATATTGGGCGGCTACGACAAGGATGTGTTAAAATCATATCGATCGATCAATAATTGAAAAGAACCGTATATAAGTGAAACAGTCGTCCTCGTTCAATACGGTATAGTCTAACGTCTGTGGACGGTGAACAATTTAAATGAGTTTACTTCTTATGAGCACGTTATTATGGCGGTTCAGTCCATTTATTTTAATTGAAACGACGAGAGAGTTAAAGGTTAAAATCCGTGTCCGATGTACATATCCTTAAACCAAGTGCGGTTCAATGAGAATAATAGGAGGGTGGTTCTTAAATTCATTATCTAAATGTTTCTCGCTTGAATTTCGTTTATGATTAAGATAAAATTGGGGTGGGACTTGAATTTTTTTGGGAGGTTGAGCCCCAAGTCCCTTTCAGCCTAGGTCAAGTAAATTTTATTTGATGATAATGATCGTTTTACATGAGTGCTAACAAAATATGCTTATAAGTAAACTACCAGGGGACCAACAGCTTTAAGTCCTCTCCGTGTGACTTGGTAATGGGGATTAATGCCTTATCAAAGAGTATGAGTGCGTTGATATGGTTTCGAACCCGAGAACTCCCGGTTGCGAGACCACTGCTCTATACCGCTGAGCCATCGCGCCTCTTCAATTTATTGTAAAGGATTCCTCTTCAATCCCGTTCCTTCCAATACTTTTACACTTTTCCACGCAGCATTACGTTCACTAATCATCTTCTCCATGCAGTACCTAATCCTTTCACGTTTCTCCTTTCTATCTTTTGTTTCTCTAAACTTATTGTTTATTCACTATCTCATATCAGTACCTTACCGAGGATCCATTCTTAGATACGATAGGAGAAGCTGAAGTATTTTTCAGCGTCCTTGACACTGTCTTCCTAGCTTCGTATACAGTTGGATTGTTTATAAGCGGCTTCATCGGAGACAGGTAAAGTCCTTTATGATGTTTTATTCTCTAAACATTCGAAATTATGTTTTTTGGATTTTAATTAAGCATTTACTATCTTTATTGATATATCATACTAAACGGAAGTACTGTGAAATTACAAAACGATAGTAGTGATAAAGAGATGAACCACAATGCGTTGATATTGTCTGAAAATAGAAGGAAAAAAGTGACAAAATAATGTCTGAATATATTGATTGAAGTTTAGGTAATTGGACATTAATCCAAATAAAATCTCATTTCCACAGTTATTACACTCCAAATGCGTCCGTTGTACATTAATTGCCTTTTATAGTGCTGTGGTGTAGATTTCATAGTTTAGTGATGATCGGAAGTATACGCATCGATATTAGTAGTAGACGTCAGAGTAACTTGCATTTAACCAATTAATCAAACTGTGTAATGGATAATAATTATCAAAGTTGGGTTTGACGTCATGATTTTGACAACGCTAAGGAAAGATTTTCGCACAACTACTGTCTGTAAGTAAGTCGTCACAGGTACGCTTTTCCCATGCACTTCATAACTCTCAAGTTGAACTCTTGATGAATGCTTTCAATAAAACATACTAATTTTGACCGGTGTTGACTGCTAACTATCCATTCAACAGGCTTGATCTGAGGCTAGTGCTTTCATTTGGAATGTGTAGTTCAGCCATGATGGTAAGTTTTGGCGGCATGATATTGAAGGAAGGGAAAACATAACAAATTGTTAACCATCATAAACACTTAAAATGAAATCCAACATTAACAGACTACTTACATTAAAAAGACTGAAAAGCACTGAAGAATCAAAGAAGGAGACTGGTGAAAGTTTGAACGAAATCGGGCACAAAATAAGAAATTATGACTTTAGAAGAAAAAAATGGTAATCACTATACGCATGGGCACTTCAAATTGGCCGAACCGGTAATGTCATCAAGGGTGTCGATTTGTATCCGTGGTTGGGGGGGATGATAGGTGCCAAAATATTTTCGGCAATTGATCAAAGCAACCAAGAGGTAGAAACGTGTGGCAAGTTGCACCCCTCCCAAGCGCGTAGCCAGGATTTCATTTTAGGGGGCGGTAGTGAGCACGCGAAGCGCGGAAGCTTTGACGTTTCACTAAATTATTAGAGAAAGAAGACGATTCGTTGGACCGTTCTCGACTCTTTATCCTTGTTTGAATCAAGTTCCCCTTCCTCCGCGCATAACGCGGAAGCTCTGACGTTTCATTAGATTATTAAAGAAAGAAGACGATTCGATGTATCATTTTCGACTCTTAATCCTTAATGTTTGAATCAAGTTCCCTTCCCCCGCGCGTAGCGCGGAATCTCTGACGTTTCATTAGATTATTAAAGAAAGAAGACGATTCTATGTACCATACTCGACTCTTAATCCTTGTCTGAATTCATTTTCGCCCATTCCTGCGCGGAAGCTTTCACATTTTATTACATTATTAGAGAAAGAAGACGATTTGTTGTATCGTGTCCTTCATGAATTTAGTTTCCCCCCTACCGCGCGAAGCGCGGAAGCTTTAACGTTTCAATAAATTATTACTCTTAATCCTTGTCTGTATTCATTTTCGCCCATTCCGCGCGTAGCGCGGAAGCTTTCACGGTTCATTAAATTGTTAGTAAAAGAAGACGATTAGTTGTATCGTGTACTTTGACGTTTCATTTGATTAATACTCTTAATCCACGTCTGAATTCAGTTGCCCCCCTAACAGCTTTGCCCTTTTCACTAAATTATTAGAGAAAGAAGACGATTCGTTGTACTGTCCTCTATATTAATCCTTGTCTGAATTTAGTTTCCCCACTGAAAATAAGTTGTGTCACAAATAAGTTGTGACATAATAATCTTTCTCCAAAAACGAAAACAAATTTAGGAAATATCAGGAAATAAAATGAGTGAAAAAAATATACAATGACGTGAATTTTAAAAAGGGTGAACGGAAACAACATAACAACTAGTGAACTATTTTATAAGTCATACTAATGTCCAAAAATCTTTCTCCTAGTCTCCGATTTCATCACGAAATCGTCACAGAGTTCATCTACGTTTACACTGTCCAGGATTGTCTGATGTGCATTGCAGATTGCTACTTTTGCGCTTCGCGCTTAACATTTAGCTCGTTGCTTTTTGAGGCTTCGTTTTTGTATTTGGCGCACAGCATTTCTATGATGCTGTTGATTAAACAAATTGAATAAATTCATTGATTCCTGCATGCATGATGAAGCCGTATGAGCAAGAATTCAATTTATTCTTGTCTCATATACGGTTGTCTTATTTACTTCGTATATAATGAGATAGCAAAATGTGTATATTAACTAATCTCATCGGGCTCTCATCATTAATTTTTCTCTTAATTTTTCTGATAGTGAATTATTGGGGGGGGGGGGGAATGATTGTACAGGCCATTCCCCCACCTGAAATATTGGGGGGATATATCCCCCCCCCCCCCATCCCCCCGGGATCGACACCCATGAATGTCATTGTGACGAAGTGCCGTACTATACTTTCCTATTTGTTTCAACTCACAAAATTATTAAAGTGTCATTTTTCCAAAAAATGTACGATTCGGGAGGGTCTTTTCTTTATGGAGGACCTATAATAATATTCGATCCATAATAAACGTTGATTAGTGCCCCCAAGTGAGGAGGCAATTAGGAGAAAAAGAAATGAATTATATTTTTGTACATGAAATACAGGAGAGTTGTCCCATTACTACGTCAGAATCTACTGACCAAATTGCCAATTTAAGATTCGCATGGATTTTGTGATTTCAAAAGTTCACAATTCCCTTATTTTTGGTCTGGCTTATTTCAAACTTCCATCATTCTATTTATTTTTATTTTTCTGCTTCCATACCACTAAAATTATTACAAGGGTTGGATTGACCTGTAACTCTGTAAATAGAAAAGATCACGCGACTAATGTTGTGTTTTCTAAAAAAAAAAAAACTACATAATTATTTTTCGTTAATATTTTGGACTGGAATAGAACTAGGTAATGTAGGCGACATATGGGGGGTATCCATCCTAACTAAAGCAAATTATCAGTAAACAAAAAAAATAGTATCCAACGAATATGATCCATCTTTGATGAAAGTATTAAGATTTTGGACATGTTCCTCAGCAAGCTAAAACGCAAGGGGAGTGGCGGTTGTGTGACGGGGCGTGGTTTCCCTGGTCGTTTTTTTTTCCCTCAAATTAATTTTGTTTGTGGCTATTTTCTCTACATTTTTATGGTATTTCCTAGAAAACTAGATTATTTTCTTTCAATTTTCTTATGGAATAAAGGGGAAAAGACAACAACAAAAAATAGACTACTGGATTCGGAACAAAAGATAGATGAAAAATATATTCAGAGTTGAAAATAGTCAAAAACATATTTTCTGTGCTGTTTTCCCCACTATTTTTCGATTAGTTCTAGACTATTTTGTTTTTTCTCGGGCTGTTCGTGTTTCCTCCAGTAATATTTTTGTCAATTTGTCTATAATTTTGTTCTATATAATTGACCCAACTTGTTGGTTTCTTTAACAGATGTTCTTGTTCGGTACATTGAGTGAGTGGGTGAAGGTTTACAATCATTGGTATTACGCGATATTCTGGATCTTGAATGGTCTTCTACAGGGAACAGGCTGGCCTACACTCATTGCAGTCATGGGCAACTGGTTCTCTGAGAAAAGGTACACTGTTATAATGATTATAATAATTAGATCGATTTACATAGCGCAGCTAGTATATATGAATATACTAAACTGCGCTTGTAAAATGGCGACGAGCTGGAATACTCCCCAGGGAGTGGAAAATGTGCATACATTGTGTTGCGGGTAAGCCTGAATCCGATGACCGGGGTAATAATTATGTTCCGCGCCTAGAAACAAAGTATTAGGCGCATTATAAATGTGAGCTATTATTATTATTATAAAAACTAAACTCCCGACAGTGCTATACTTTACAGACACACAATAACAATAGTGTTCAAAAGCTCCTTAAAACAAGTGCGTCGTCAACAAAACTTTGAAAGACAGGAACAGGTTATATATAGACTTTTATTAAGTCTATAGTGGTAGGTTATTCCAAAGCTTTGGAGCGGCCCAACTGAAAGCGCAATCTCCTAGAGTAACTTTTGTTTTTTGTGCAAGGTAGCTTTAGACGCAACTTGTTCTGTGTATTCGCAAGCATGAGTACCTGCATATGGATGCGATTTAAATCATAATAATTAAGACAAATAATTTGGGGCTTGACCATTCAACACTTCAATGTAAACAAGCACAATTATTTTGAATACAATTGTCTGCTATACTCATCACACAAACGGTAGACTTCTCTTCTCTTCTTTTTTCGTCCTACATTTTTTGTCATTTAAACAAGCAAATGAGTAGTATTTGAATAAAGATATAGGAATTATCCACGGACTAAAGTAACACTTTAGAACTATACAGTTTAGGTACTATTTTTGTTGTAATAGGAAGTAAAAAAAGATGTTGATTTCTGCAGTTGTATCAATGTATCTATTAGTAATAATTAGTAAATTTTCTTTATATCAATTTTAAAAAATCTCTTAACATATGGGTACCTTGCTTATTATCAACAAAGTGTCATGATGTATTTTTCTTTCATGAATTGTGGCACAAATGCTTTGCTATTACTAAATGTCAAACTCGAAATGTATTGTTGAATATTGTAATTATCTCAAACTTGTTACCCCCCCCCCTTGCCCCTTCCCTCCTTTTCCTCCCCCTCCCTCCCTCCTTTTCCTCCCCTCCCCTCTCTCCTTTTCCTTCATCTTCTGATGATGTTTTTCTTGGCGGTTCACAGTCGAGGGTTGGTGTTTGGTATCTGGAGTGCTTGTGGCTCTGTTGGTAACATCGTAGGAGCTCTCTCGGCGTCACTGGTCCTGACCTACGGATACGAGGTTAGATACAATCATTTAAAGCCCGCCTGTACTAGTTTGGCTAGAAGGAATTAGACCACCCAGGGTGGTCACTGACGATTGGCTATCTCATCAACTCAGCTCTCAATTACATGTAACATAAGAAAAAGAGGATCATGGGGGACCAATGATCACCGATTAGGCATTGTTTTCTATATAGAGGGAGCAAGTAGCTACAAGTAGTACAGTGGGGCTTTAAGGTTGCCGGTGTCCAAACAACCACTATACTTTTATGTAGGCCTAATCGACGGAGCCTCGACAAATTCCTCTTGTCAGAGAGGAAGCGCCACCACTGGTTTAAAAGGACACCAACAAAAAAGAAAGAAAGCCTAGGAGAAGAAGGGAAAAAAAAGGCACATTCTTCCGAATGAACAGAAGGAACGTTAATTGTCCATGCAATTCACAGACCTACGGTTTCAGATGTTATTAACAAAGACCTCTTTAGGATGGTAACATTTACTTCTTTTTTGTTGTTGAAGTTGTATTCACGGATTTCAGAATTTAAAATGTTCATCGAAGTTATTAAATATCTTTATCTGGTTTTTATTTCAGTTCGCCTTCCTCCTGACGGCCATAATGATGTTCTTCTGGGGTTTGGTCATCCTTTTCTTCTTGAATCCATCTCCTCGTGATGCTGGTAAGACACAATATGGAGGAAAATAAACATCTCTCTCTCTCTCTCTTTCTCTTCGTAACTCTTTCTCTCTGTCTATTTCTGTCTATCTCTGTCTGTCTCACTCTTTCTCTCTCACTCTCTCTCTCTCTCTCTTGCTTTTCTCTCCTCTTTATCTCCTATTTTTCTCCCTTTCATCTTTTCGTCACCCTCTCTTCTCGTCCATTTCTTTCTCTCTTCCCCTATCTTCCTCACTTTTTCTTTCTCTGCCATCATCTTTAGATGTACACAGCATATTTTCAAGTTATCAAACACGCAAATTGTACTCGAATTATTAACGCTGGGCCGTCTGTTCAATAACACTATACTGATTCTCTATCTTGATCAATTTTAACTACTTTCTTAGGTTTATACCTCGATGAGGATGATGATGATGATGATGATGATGATGAGAGGGAGCAGGAGTCGACATCAGACGACAAAACGCGTAAGGTGTACTACATGTAGATATCAAGAATCAGAACTTTCCTACCTCATTTAGTTAACTAAACGTCAAAGAATGTGATTGCAGTGACATCTTGTAGACTTCGCTTTTCTTATAAGATTCGTAATTTTCTGACAAAACAAAATCTCGAAAAAATTATGATCAAGAGAAAACTTAAAATGGAGTATCATCGTCTTTCTGTTCAGGATATGAGTGAATATGAGTTCCCATTTGTTTATGAAGACTGTCGTCATTATCGAATAAATTACTTTTATCCGTCCTTCAGACCCATTTAACAGCAGACAGTGAAATCACATTAGAACTAGATGATCTGATGAGAAAAGATAAGGCAAGAAAGCCGTTTTACATTCTAAATCTCCGGATATTGAGCGATGAGAAAGCGTATATATATATATATATAATTATAAAGACGGCTCTTGGAACTTGTTAAACCGTCAGCAGGTTATATTCTAATCTTTTGTTAACTCTTTTGTTAAATTCCTCCACCAATTACTAGTTCGTAAATCATTCATTTGCTACAGCCTTCGCCAACAAAGAAAAGCTGGGATCCAAGAAGGAGAAACCGTCCGCCTCGAACAAGCGCGTGAGCGATGACGATGATGACGCTGACGTCATTGAAGAACTAAGACCTAGACCTAAGCCTATTGGATTCCTTCAAGCTTTCTTACTACCAGGTGTTGCTTGTGCAAGTACAAAATACCATTGTGGAATCTAAAACCCCTTTTTGTCTTCTTCAATGGGATGTTATTAAACTAAACTGCAAATAAGTATTATTAAATGATGTCATATTTTAGGTGTAACAAACAATGAAGAAACAAAATTGGCGCAGCATTTATCGCGAGACTATTTTGCTATTTGTTTGTGCTCATTTTTGAAAACGCAAATAGAGATGGTCCAGAGAGACATGTAAGGGATTCACAGGGATATACTGCATGTAATTACATGATCTTCAATTGAGAAAATTAATACATGCAGCAACTTCATTTAGCCTTTTGCCGGACAAGCTCAAGTTCATTTTGACTAGTTTCCATATGAATACAGTCTGTTTATTCCACTGAGCAACTGAAATTTTTTTTCCTGTATCTGTTTCTTTTAGATTCCTGGAAAAAAACAAGCAAGTGACATGGTCGGAATTCGATGTTAGGAGAAATCTTGAATAATGATATCCCCTGACGATTTGTTATGTTTTTCATCCGGTTCATGTACAGTATTCACTTGGATTCGCGTGTGTAAAGCTGGTAAGTTACTCCCTGTTCTCTTGGCTTCCATACTACCTCACATCTAACTTCCAATGGACAGAGGTCACTGCCGATCGAGCATCCATGGCTTTCGACTTTGGTGGAATTATAGGTAAATCGAAACCGCTATTCTAACATCAAATATTTACTCAAATGCCTTTGTAGTTTTTTTTTAACATTTCAATCAAACGAATATTGTTTAAACATTCAATCCAATGCATACAGAATAATGTTTTTGTTGTTAATCATTTAACATTATAATCAATAAAGGGCTGTGGTAAAATAAATAGCAATAGCAAAACCTTCATTCATATTTTGTTAGTGGTTTATTAGGATGGTCGGAGAGAGAACGTTGTTTGAAGAGCAACAAAACAGCTTTTATCAAACAGTTGCGAAATATATATATAAGAATAAGCATTATTTTAATCATTAACGAATTATCATTTGGGGCTTTATTCTGCATTAAGGAGGATCAATTGGTGGCTTGATCTCTGATTTCCTGGGAATCCGATCTCCTGTTGTGATCTTCATGCTGTTTGGCTCTATGGGATCACTCTATGGATACAGTGGTGAGTTACCCCTCTAACTTAATCTTCTTCCTTTACGGAGGTAAGGGACGACCCCTCCCCCTCCTCCTGACAAATTAAAAAATAAGATGTACTCCTTCCCCACACTCGAACGCCGCCACTGGTATTTTCCGAAGACGGGCCTACATGTTCGAATGTTATGACTGTTAGAAAAAATGAGGGAGTCCGGTTGGATGAGATTCTATAATTTGGAAAATGTACTCCTGGAGTCAACATCAGTTGATACAGTCAGGTTCGAAATGAGGAGTTGACGTGACGTGGTAACACAAATGTGTCGATGAAAGGAAGGTGCCGCAGTGAGATTTCAAAGTGAGATACGGAAGTGAGATACTGAAGTGAGATACTGAAGTGAGGTGACGAAATGAGATGCCGAAGTAATATTCCGAAGAAAGATGCCGATGTGAGATACCGATGTGATGCCGAATTGAGATGCGAAGTAAGCTTCCGAAGTGAAATGCCGAGGTGAGACGCCGAGGTAAGACGCCGAGGTAAGATGCCGATGTGAGAAGGAAATGTGAGATGCCAAATTGAGAAGCCGAAGTGAGGTGCAGAATTGAGATGCAAGGTAATATACCAAAGAGAGATGCCGAGGTGAGACGCCGAGGTAAGATGCCGATGCAGGGGCGTACGCAGGATTTTTTTCAAGGGGGGGGGTTTAAAATCTAGTTTAGAAGCTAGTATACCCAGTTCACTCGATAATTAAGATGAATGCTTGCAGTTATCTACACAATGTATGGAAGAGGATGATGTGTCAAAGGTCACCATCCCCACCCCTCCCCCCCTCTCCAAAACACACACACATACACAAGCTGCATACACCAAAGTGAGATGCCGACGTAAGATGCCGGAGTGAGGTGCCGAAGTGCAGTGCCAAATTAAGTTGCGAAGTGAAAGCCCGAAGTGGGATGCCGAGGTGAGAAAATAATATGAGAAGAAAATCTAAGATGCCGATGTGAGATGCCGATGTGAGATGCCGCTGTAAGACGCCGAAGTGAGATGCGATGTAAGATACGATAGTGAGATGTGGAACTGATATACCGATTTGAGATACCGAAGTAAGGTGCCGAAATCAGATGCTGATGTGAGAAATTAAAGTAAGTTGCCGAAGTGTCATCCCGAAGTGACACACCGCAGTGAGATGCCGAATTAAGGTGCTGAATTGAGATGCGAAGTAAGAAACCGAAGTGAGATGCCGATGTGAGACGCCGATGTGAGACGCCGAGGTACGATGCCGATGCGAGATATCAATATGTGATGCCGATGTCAGGTGCCAAAGTTAGATGCCGATGTGAAAAGAAAATGTGAGTGTCATCCCGAAGTGACACGCCGAAGTTAGATGCTGAATTGAGGTGCCGAATTGAGATGCGAAGTGAGAAACCGAAATGAGATGTCGATGTGAGACGCCGAGGTACGATGCCGAAGTGAGATGCCGATGTGAGATGCCGATGTGAGATGCCGATGTAAGATACCGATATGAGGTGCCGATGTGAGATGCCGATGTGAGGTGCCGAAGTTAGGTGCCGAATTTTGATGCCGATGTGAGAAGAAAATTTGAGATGCCGAAGTGTCATCCCGAAGTGACACGCCGAACTGAGTTGCCGAATTGAGGTGCCGAATTGAGGTGCCGAATTGAGATGCCGATGGGAGAAGAAAATTATAGATGCCGAAGTGTCTCCCGAAGTGTCACGCCGAATTCAGGTGCCGAATTGAGATGCGGAGTGAGATAGCGAAGCGAGACGCCGATGTGAGAAGAAATTGTGACCTGCCGAAGTGTCATGCCAAAGTTGGAGGTGTCGTGGACGAGTGGATATGTCACCGGACTGTGGATCACAAGGTCCGCGGTTCAAGTCCCACCGCGGCACTAATGTCCTTTGGCAAGACAATGATCTACATTTGCCACTCTTCACCCAGGTGTTAAATGGGTACCCGGTAAGATGCGAAAGCTTATGTGCTTAGATTAGCAAGTGTGCGCTTGTAAAAATGATGCACTGGCTGGAATGTTCCCCAGGGAGTGGAGAATGTGCATACATTGTGTGCGGGTAAGCCTGAATCCGATGACCGGGTTAATAATGATTGCAGGGCCCTCAGGGCGAACAGTATGAATACTGATGAGGCTACCCTGGGTAAACAAGACATTATTATTACTCTTATTATTAAAGTGTCACGCCAAAGAGAGATGCCGACGTGAGATGCTGATATGAGATGCCGATGTGAGGTGCCGAAGTTAAATGCCGATGTGAGAAGAAAATATGAAATGTCGAAGTGTCAACCCGAATTGACATGCCGAGGTAAGAAGCCGAATTGAGGTGCCGAATTGAGATGCGAAGTGAGAAACCGAAGCGAGATGCCGATGTAAGAAGAAAACGTGAGATGCCGAAGTGAGATGTCGAAGTGAGATGTCGAAGTGAAATGCGAAAGTGAGATGCGAAGTTAGATGCCGAGTTAGATGCCGACCGCCGACGTGAGATGCCGAAGTGAGATACAGAAGTGAGATGCCGAATTGAGGTGCCAAATTGAGGTGCCAAATTGAGGTGCCGAATTAAGATGCGAAGTGAGATACAGAAGTGAGATGTCGAAGTGAGATGTCGAAGTGAAATGCGAAAGTAAGATGCGAAGTTAGATGCTGACCGCCGAAGTGAGATGCCGGAGTGAGATGCCAAAGTGAGATGCCGAAGTTAGATGCCGAAGTGAGATGCTGAAATGAGATAACGAGTGTGTATCGCCAAGTACTCGCTCTTCATTGGTAGTAATATTTTCTGTTCTGTTTTTATTTGCAGTTGCCCCAGCCAATAATTGGAACGCCTTAGTGATGGCTATTGCTGGTGAGTTTTTATACATACTTTTTAAAAGATTATTAAGATATAATAAATAATCTGAACAACAAGAACATTACATACTGGACTGGCATGTTCTTTCTTACGAAATTATTCCAACATTATATTATGCCTTAAAAGGTTATTCGTCAAGTTCTACCGCCCGGTAAGGGCCCATTGAGGGTCAATAGATATGATTACTAAGCCCCTAACTACAGTGAATTCCTATGAATTCAGGTCATATTTCCTAAACAGATGCATTTTCCTCCAAAATGGATAATGAAAAAAATAAGATGTAACTCACAGAGGGTCTAAAATCAAATCCCTTATCTTGATATAACTCTAGTAAAAGCCTGAAATTATGAGGGCTTCAAGTTAGATATTTCAATGCTTGTCGATATGAAAAAGGAAGAAATAACACCATAGTGTGAAAGTTGTCAGCTTACGCAATATAAATTGATTGTATTGAGTGTTTGGTGAATTCTCATTATAAAAATAAAGTCTGTTGTGTAGGTTAGTTCTAGTCGCTATTGTATTGAATGTGAAAAATGATAATTTTGAAGCATCATCATTGAATGATCAAATTATTGCGTTATCCTTATTTGAACACGGACCATTTTTATACATTTTCTTGTCAAGGTGCCTTTGTGTGTGGTGTGACTCACATGATCGGCTCTACAATAGCAGCTGATCTAGGGCAACGCAAAGACTCACTAGGACAGGATAAAGAAGCGCTCTCTACTGTTACAGGGATCATCGATGGTACGGGTACCTTTGGTGCTGCTATAGGACAGGTGAGGGATTTTTCTTTTTTTTTCTTTTTTAATTTCAACCGAAATCATATACTGTTTATTTTTATCTACTGGAGTCCATCACAAAATTACCACTATCTTTACCACCGATGTAATGTATAAACCAATCGCAGCTATGTAAACTTAATTTTATGGTAAAAAATAATATCATAGTCTGGGTTCATATATCGCCTGATACATCGAAGATGTCTCTAAACGCTTTACAGATTATGATGTGAATAACCAGCAATAAAGATACTTGTTTTAACCAGTCGAAATATACTGTGTGATCTATCATGATAAGCGTTTATTTAATTTCTAAAGGCACCTTGTCCATGAAAAAGAAGAGAGCACAGTTGTTGTTGTTGTTGTTTTAAAGCCTTATTAAGCATCTCATTATTATGTTTATAATTCTGAATCTTGTGTTGTGGGGGCATCCAAGGATACCGTCACCTGAAGAGAAACTGAATCTCAAACTTGTATAATTTCTACATTCCTCATGATATTTTGTTTATAATTATGCATACAGGTAGTGATTCCTATGTTGAAGATCAACTATGGTTGGGGTTCGGTCTTTGCATTCTTCGTTGTTATGGTAGGTCTACACTCATAGTTGTTAGTCGTAAGCTTAATTCAAAGAAGAAAGAAAAAAAATGGTTATGGCTCCTAATGTCAGATAAGATGATCTCTTCTTGCACGTGGCTCCAGAGCTGTGATCGGGAAGTCACGTATGACCAATTTCAGACAGTCTGAGTTGGAAGCGTCTGAGGCCCAATATTGTCCAAAATAAGCGATCAATGGCTGCTGAATTTTGTTTATGATTCTTTTTTAAGGAAAGGAAATGACTAGGAATTATTCATCATTGGACCATACACAATTTGTAATGGGTGTGGCAAAATGGCATTTCTTCAACTGCCTCATTTTATTTTCTGAAACAAAATGGCATGTGCCTAACCAATCGCAAATTGTGTTAACTCATACGCGACCCTTCCATTATGGATGTGGTGTCATGTGATGGAGGTGAGTTTGAGCTTTTCTATGATGTGTATATTTAGCAATTATTAATTTCAAACCATTTGCTATCATTTCATAACCATGACGCAGGGGCGGATCCAGGGGAGGGGGCCAAAGAGGGGGCCCAATTCGTGAGAAAATATTTAGCGCCGACTCAGCTAGTCGGTGAATAAGCGGGGGGGGGGGGGGGAGGGGTAAGGAGCAATAATTTTTTTTTTTTTTTTGCCCTCGAAAATTTAAAAATCGTACCCCCTTTAGCACCAGGGGAGGGGGGCTGTCTCCAAATAAAGGTTAATTAAACGTGTTTCTACCTGTTTTTCCCAGGGGAGGGGGCCTTGGCCCCTCGCCCCCCCCCCCTTGGATCCACCACTGCCATGACTACCCAAGGGTGACGGCCATCCGCTTGATTTGGACAGTTGGGTTTCTGCATCGTTGCCATTTCGGGCTGTATGAAATTAGTCGGGCGTGAGTTCTTGATCGTCGGTTTGGTGTCGATCGCCTGGGGGAGGAGAGGATGGGCTTTCTAATAATGATCAGGGACCCGAGCCTTTTTTCAATGACAAAAATCAGTGACAAGTCTGTTGATAACCAATAAGAAGCAAGGATTTCGATAGCTTATAAAAAAAAAACTGTCATTTGTCATCGATGACAAGTTTTGTGAAACGGGTCCCTGAAATTGTCGAGTCGCTACCCATAAACTTGGATTTTCCTTTTTCATGGACACCTTGTCTTGTCCTCATTATCTATTTTCTTGTTAATAATTTATTAATTATTACTATTTTGTTTATGTTGTATTTTGTATGTATGCACGGCCCTACGGAAGAACAGTCTTCGGGCTGAGGTAGACATCCGTACTTAAATAAAAGAAATTTCATAAAATGAAATTATATGGATCACATTATTTTTGTATATCTATTTCTCAGATCGGCTCAGCTGTCTTCTTCATTTCACCGATATTCATCAAGGAAATGCGATCCAAGTGTCAATCACGGTCGACATAAAAACACTAGTATCTAGGGGGGCGTTTCATGAATTATAAGTCGGTGGTTCACCGACAATTTAGTCAGCGCTGACTAAATTTGACCAAACACAGGCCTGGAAAATAGTCGGTGACAAAATAGTTGTCGGTGAACATGATATTAGTCGGTGAAAACCACCGACTAATTGTTTCATGAAATGCCCCCAGATTATACCAATTAAAGCTCGTTCAGACGCGGCAAAACCTTCGGCGGTTTTATATTTGTATTATCTATGATGAAAACGCTTCACGTGTCTCCTATAACGCAGAGCTCTGTTCATACGCGCAAGTACGTCGTTGCGCGCAGTTGCCATTCATAAAATAAAACCGCGGTGGTTTACCGCGCCCTATCTGAACGAGCCTTTTCTCTCATATTATATTACTATGCTAGCATACACAGTCAGCTTTAATTCATGAATTTCAAAGGAAGATGAAAGTGGTTATATTTTGTATATTATCTGAAATACTTGAAAATATATATCGCCAAGTTTGAAGTAAAATGAAATTTATTTTGTGTTTAGAAAATAACGTCTTTTTTGTTCTGTTGTGTTTATTTTTATATTTCCAATTGCGATTTGGCGTGAATCTGTAGATAACGATGACATTGAATATTGAAAATAACCATTTTTTGTTTAATTGCTTTTGAACTTTTTTGTAATCATTATTATTTATCTTTTCGTTTTCCGTCTAATTTCGGATTTATTTTTTTCCTCAGGCTCCTCAAGCACAATTTGAATATTGTTCGAGGAAGCGTCATACTTTTGGTGATCGTGAAATAAGAAGGTCCCAAGTTGATGCGCTAGTGCCTTTTCTCAATTACCAAGTCTTTCCGCTATTGAACTTCTTGGTTGATGATTGCCAATGCGGCATTGTAGGCCTATACTTTACCAACAATCAGGTTAAACAATATCAACTCCAAATAGGTTTTATTCAGTAGCATCTTCTATTAAATAGAAGTATTATTATGGTAAATAGCTGGATACGATAATTATTTCGAGTCTTATACAATTTCGTAATTCTCCACGAAGATAATTTAAGAACTATACACTACATTAAGTGCATTGCACGCTGAAAAAAAAGTATTGTATATCAATATGGCAAGGAGGACTAAATAAATTGAAAATATGCATTACATGTAAAATCCATATCGTAATCGTATTATCCACAGTCTTCCAACTTAACAACTATTATAGATTATATATTTTTTTTTATTGAAATAATAAGAATTAAGTTTGGGCATCACTCGACTATATAATATACTTCGAAGAGACGGATTGAAACAGGGATATAGAACACAAGACCAACATGGCCTATATAGGTCGTCTCACTAATTTTCAAACAAGCGACTGTCAACATGTTTGATTTATAGTATAACGAGAAGAATTTATAGAAGTTTTCTTTCGGAAATTTTACCTATCGCGACACCCTGATTATGCTGAACTATTAACGTAGAAACATTAACATTTTGTTCATGGGGGCGGGGGGGGGGGGGCTCATGCAAATAACCGGTGCATTGAACAGGAACCATTAAAGACTCGCATTTGCCGTCAGAATGTTACATAATATTGACAGTATCTCTAGATAAATGCGGGAGGGGGGCACCATATCCTAATCTGCCCCCCCCCCACCACTTATAGGTCTCAACGGCTACGCTATTGGCTTGAAGGTATTCTTATATTCATTGAACTGTAAAATATCTAAAAGACTCTTATTTATTCATCGAATTTGTTTTCAGAAAATATATTCAGTTTGTGAAATGATCAGGTATATTTATTAAAGCTGTTAGATAGTTGAATGACTCTTATTTTATTATCGAAATTATAAAAAAAAAAGGTATATCCAATTTCTGAAATGATCAGGTCAGATACAGGCCGTTTAAGTAAAACATGTTTACCTCATTATTGCATAATATAAATTACTACAAGGGTATTAAATTGAATTATCATATCAAAAGTAAAATCAATATCTTTATAATTGTTTTTCTTGATTGTTTCATAGTGTGCATGGTGTCTCAAAAGAATCAACCGCCGATTTTCATAGAATGTGCATGTGCAATTATTTGACTTTTGAAACCGCGAAGGTTCTCACTTCACTCAAAGTCAGATCCGTTTTAATGTCTTTTTCTGCAGGCTCAAGGTGCCCGACGATTTTATTTTATTTATTATTCATTATTTTGATAAACAGAATCTCAATCAGGACGTATTAGCGGGGATTTCGTACATCTCGTCCTAATTGTAATTTCCTGAACCACTTTTACTAAACCAATGAATAAAAATAACAAACATAGGATATACACTTTCATTTATTTGTTTGTATGTCTGTACTAGTCACTAATTCTCTTTCCTCTCTTTCTACTCTTTATCACATCCCATCTCCCCCTCTCTCTATCTCTCTCTCTCTCTCTCTCTCTTTCTCTCAGCCTCTCCTCTCCACAATCTCTTTCTCTCGATAGTATATCTCTTGTATCAGCCGAATTACACCCCCCTTTTTCCTCTCTCTCTCTCTCTCTCTCTCTCTCTCTCTCTCTCTCTCTTTCTCTTTCTCTCAAAAGAATGACACGTAGATCTATTCTACAAGTGAACATGGCACGAAATTGATTTCACTTTAATGAAACAAAAGAAAATGAACATATTTCAAATGCACAAATTTCATGAGATTGAAGGAAGAATATTGCGTCATGTGCCCATCAGAAGGGCACGAACAATGCCGGAACAACGGATGTATATCAAAAACAAAAACAAAACAAATCATATCAAACACACATTAGAAAGAAACGCATTTGAATCATTCCTTTACTACAACATACTTACTATACGCATTCCATTTCAGGTCTACATCATCCTAGTTGTGAAGTTTAGCAATCAAAACTATAAAGTTTAGAAATTTTGACCGAAAATTTGTGCTCACGCCCCCCTCAAAACATGACACTTTGACACATCTTATTTTACGAAGATATTAGAATGATAAATACATTTCAGATAACGTTTGTCCTCTGTAAAGTATCATTGCTTGTAGTCCGAACTGAGCAAAATTAAGTTCAAAGTTTGAACCATGTAAATGTCTCACTAACTAAGGGGTATACAATACATTGTTGGCTCCACCTCGGTCTTCAAATCCGGGCGTGTGAAGCAATAATCGAATGGATTAAAACTTGACCCAAATATTTTTGAAGGGTATAAGATAGCCAAGTAATCAACACTTCATCTCCATAATTGATGTACCTAAACTATCGCGAATGAATCAGTAACATAGAATTTATCAAATATTGACCACCACCAATGGCAACACCTATATATATATATATATATGTATATATATGTCTCATATATATATATCTCACAGCATCATTTTGTTCCGATATACCCTTTTTCCAAATACCCTTATGTTCATACACTTTATAATGACGTTCCAACACCTTATGTACAGACACCTTATATTTCTACATCTTTTATGTTCCGTGCCATTCCTAGTATGAATTGATACCCCCTTTTCCCATCTCTACATGTTTCAATACTACAAATTTTAACGCATCTGGGTTAAAACGCCCCTTTACCGCGTAACGCCCATGTTTCAACACCTCTAGCTCTATGATCCGTCAGATCCGACATTCCGAATAATTTTCAGACACACCTACGTTCCTAAACGCTTGTGTCCCAATAATAAATCATGTGTATAACGAAAGTAATTATAATGATAATAATAATAATAATAATAATAATAATAATAATAATAATAATAATAGTAACAATAATAATAATAATAACTAGCACTTAGTACGATCTACATAGTACAGCTATATCACAGCGTTAACAAAATAGACAATACATACAATACACTTAAAATAAGTACAAATTAATAGGAATGTCTTAACAATTGGTGTGACAATTTTGTCGATAATTTCTTAAATTGGTCTGGGGAAGCATTGCGGGGATATTGTTCCATTCGTTCGATGCAGGTACAGCAAAATGCGATCACAGGCTACAATTCGCCTCAATGTCCCGACATCCCTTTGTAGTCCCGTCAGCCTATGTTCGTCACCCGTATGTGTTCGACACCCCTCATTTCAAACACTTCCACATAAGTCAAAATAGCACTATAATAAATAAAAAAAACAATTATAGTTAACAATGGTGGCTTTTGAGGATGTCATGGAAACAAAAGTGTGATCAATAAGACTTCATAAGTTCAGACTCCCATAAATTATTGTTGTCAAGAAGACGAGAATCACAGAACGGTTTCGGTGCAACCAAAAATCATTTATAACATAACATGATTTATAACATCGCTATAAACGGAAGTAAACTAATCCATAAGGAAATTGGTTTCCACGCGAAAGAACCAGCAATATACATTTCGCAACGTCCGTGCGAGGTTTACATTTTGTAATCGTCTATTCATTTAATAATCGCTTTGCATCTGAGTACAAGTAATAACAAAATAATATTGTATTACTTTGTAGCACCCTGTAGGAGAAACTCTTGGTCACCTCGCTAAAGTGAACCCGTTAATTTTATTTTGCAATATCTACTCTTCTTATTCACAAGGGTATGTTATTCCTTTTGCATTGAATAACAAGTTACATCTATTTACCGCCGAAATTTTATTTGTAGCACCGTTAGTTTTGCCTGAAGGAAAATGCGCTTAGATACTTGACATGAATTGGTGAATTCGCTGAGTAAAAGGATTGTGAATACATGTGTGCATTTCAAAAAATAAATAAGAGTGAAAATATATCGACATACGAGTTCCGTTTAAGTACCAATCCCAGTATACTGAGTGAGCTGTCAAAGGGATTACCCCACCCGTACCCAACCAGGTACATTTTCTTCTTATCAAAATTGTTGTACGATTAGGGAAACATAAAATCCCAATGCATGTGAAAATATTATCAAGATGACTATCGATATTTCTTGCAACTTATCACGATGCAAAAGAAAACTGGCAATGTATAGGCATGTAGACAGTAGACGTTATACATCACGGGTAGAATAAATATGTTTAGAAGATTATTTACAGCCAAATATACACATTTCATGTTCTAGCCATATCGTCCCATCTATTGTTTGTTTATACCCGGTCATTCAATTGGATGGTAGTTGAGGGGAATATCTCCAATCAGTTCTGAGTAATGTTTAAGAAGTAAGAATAGATAGCGGCAGCTATTTTCAAAATGTCCTCGAAGTTTTGATATGGCATCCTCGCTTATCACTGGGTATTCCACAGGCAGTCGAGGCATGCAAATTGATTGTGGTTTTTGAAGACAGAATGTACTGGTGTTCATATTAAACTTGAAGTAATCCGGTCGGAAGAATGGTCTCACACCGAGAAATTCCTCGACTTTAGCCAGGGTTTCACCTGGCTTTCTCGCAAATTTTTCGGCGTTGACTTCCAGGATGTGGTTAGGCGTAAACTTCTTGACCCAACTCCGCAAGTAGTACACGTAAAGACTGTCAGCAATGAATATGTTTTTATGAGATACAAGATCAGGGTTTTTCAGGACTGTTTTCTCGAAGGTATCTTCTATGGTGTAAGACATCTTGGTTGAACCTCGTCTACCGTGCTTACCTTTACCGCTGACGAGCAGACGGTCTAGCGATCGCGATTCCTTGAAGACTCGCTTGTAGTGCGCGGAAGTCATTTTGGAGTCGTAAATCCTGTGCCGGGTCAGGAGATAGTCAGAGATGGACCTCGCTACAGGATCACGCAACATGATGATGACTTTGATGTCATCTCCAAGTGTCTTTGAAACCCTCAAAGAAGCATTTCGATGATACATGTAACCTTCTGTCGACTCTAACGTGATCTGGTCGGGTGTGCTGAAAGGCATTTGACTTCTGTACCATTCCGATCCACGATGGTAGTTCTTATCGAAGAATTTTACTTCGTATGCTGCTGTCGCCAGCTGCGGATGGAACCCTAGGATCCTATTGAGAGTCCGCGTACCTGACGTCCTCGCGCCGATGATGAGGACCTTCGGTAATTTCTGCTTGCATCCAAGTGAATCTAATTCCTTGCTGGATTTCAGATGCTGAACCCAATCTGAAGAGATCGTATGACATTTGCCTCCGTGCAAAGACCCGCCTTCTTGAGAGTAGTGCCTTTGTGGCGTCTTCAAGGCAAGCGACTTTCCTCGGTAGTTGAGTATGGATTCACTTTTGTTGCAGATGACGGCGTAAATTCTCGTGAAGCTGATGATAGCCGCTAGAATGAGACAACCGAAGCAGACGGCAAAGAAGTATAGTCGGGACGACATGTCGTTTGGATCACTACATGTCCATTCATCAGGGTATAGTTAGGCTACTGGTCTGAGACTGATGCGATTCACCACGTTACTTACGAAAAGTATTACTCCATCGATGAGATGAGACGCGATTCTGATAAAAATACAAACAAACATAAAATAGATATGATAAGTGTAAGGAAAGTATCCTCTCTTCGTTTTGATTTTAAACATAAATTTTGACGATGATACTGATTATTGTAGTGATGGTAATGGTGAAAATGATGACGATCATGTTATTAAGTTAGTGGCCGAGGATGGTAACACTGGAAGCGCCTGGGTCGGTTACGCTGTATTTGCAACAGTTTATATTTATAATTATGATGATGGTAAATAATGAAAATGCGCAAAAAGTAACAAAAGTACGAATGACAAAAATAATTAACAAGAATAATTATGATTGATCTCGAATATGTTAATCAAGTATTTTAAGACAACAAATCTTCACTCGCCCATGTGGCCATTGATACAGGGGGTGGGGTGGGTATGTGGGAGGGTGGGACCCTCAAGAAATAATTGTCAAATTTAAGATCTATATACTTCATCCTCTTTCACAAGTTCGTTTTTTTTTTTAAAGTGAGCGTCCGTTTACTTGATGGTAAACTTTTTTGGATTTTCCGATCTGAACCCCCCCCCCCTCTTTTCAAAATGCGCGAGCGAGTCGGAGCGACGCACCTACTCATTTCTATTTTGCCCAACAATGATTTCTCACAGGAAAACAATTACTTACATAATTATAATTTTTAGAGCGTTTTGAAACTGAGACTGAAACTGTAGTGATTTGCCACGTTACTTCCGCAAATATTATTCCATCCATGAGATGTGACCCTATTATTTACAAAAAATATTGAAAACAATAAAGCGCGTTACATGGATGCCTTAACAATTTTACTATTACCCCCCCCCCCCCACCCATAACACCGCCCTACTGGCATGATAGGTACAATTCCGCTAAATGTCATCTCTTACCAAAATATCAACGTTACTGTTTATATATTATGCGAGCGAGCAAAGCGATCGAGTGGAAATACTTCTGATCACATAATTAAATTTTAGAAGAATTGCACCGAGAAAGATAAAAAACGATTCACGAACTGAGAACTATGTGTTATTCAGTTGCATGCAAATATACCGAGTTCAAGAGAATTACTATTGTGAATAATCCATCGACCACACTGAGAAATGCTTTATTGAATAATTATTTTTTTCAAACGAAAAATTCTTACACTATTGTCCAAATTTTGTGAGTACAATATATCGGCATGTTATTTGTCACTGAGACAGTATTTTTGAATAACAACTCCGGATAAAAACTAACCACAACATTTGCAGACAGGGCTTGAACTCTATGAAGTATGTATATAATTAATGTGCCAACAAAAACCTCCCCAGTAAAATAATGCTGCTGCATGAGCTATATAAAGCTTTCGATCGTGTCACCATTTATTCAGTTAAGAATAGATATATCTGTTCAAGTATCATCAACAAATTCAGATAATGTTAAGTAGAAAATAGACAACATGTTACGTTATACAGTCAATGCCATCCATAGTTATACACAGGAAGATATTGTATTGAAGTCGAATCATTGAAGTCGAAAATGAGACAGATGGCATATTCATGGTCTGATGGTTATGACTTATGAGTTCGTGGTCTACAACATGTCATTTAGGTTTCCGATCTTCAATTATATATCTCAACAAACACCCCACCCCTCGCCTAAAAAGGAATGAGAAAGCTGTAACACGAACCTCCCCTAAATAAACAGGTTCCTTTTGTATACATTTCGGAGTTTTTCTTTTCTTTTCCGGTGACCTAAATGGGGTCAGATATCACAATTCCATGGGAGCAGGTATAACAATATAAGGGGGAATATGGTTTACCACACAAAGCTACGTGATAACAATGCCAGTATACCTAGAATATTCAAGTACACTATATGCATCTTGGCTGTACATAATAGGAACCTACATGGTATATCGCTCAGCTCATCATGCAAGATTATTCGACTCTAAATTGATTTCATCCACAATCACAGTACACAATCAGTGACCGAGTCAGTTATCTAGACATAGATGTAGGCATATACGCGCCAGTAATAAATCTGATAATGATATTAATTTATTGATAAAGGAAATTCGCGATATGAAAATCAATAACCATGCAAGTATAATAGTCTAACTGGTAAACAATGGCTAAAATCATGCCGTGTTCTAACTCTTTTCTCCTCCACAGTCGACGTGTGGAACATTCAGTGGGTGGATGGGTGAATGCCTGAATGGCAAGAAATCATTACATGCGATAGCTGATATTGACACAAACATGTAGTACTTACCATATTGAGGATAATGGTTTCCGTATGTTTTGCTGCATGCATGCAGTTCACAGAGCGCAGTGTTAGCGGTGCATGGTGCGGTATATGTATGACATATCGGTCTGTATTTCTGGGAGTGTGAATACCGTTTCCCAATCTTGACCTCCAAACTCGATCCCTGGTCGGTCGAGGTCGTGTTTCAAGTAGTCTGCTTCCAAGTCTCTGTCTGGTTTCTTTTCATACTATGCATCAAATTTATAATATGCATTACATTTCGTGACAATGATCACCGGCCAAGAGGTGTAATAGTGAACAGATCATTATTTTGCTCTTATTTTGGCATGCATAATAAAAGCATTATACAAACTCTCTTACTAGCCTATATGTAACAAAATAAGTTCTTATTTTCAGGGCCATTTTTGTCCAGTTATACCCGCATCCATATTTTTGTTTTATTTGTCTACAACTCTATATGATTGTTATTTCTATATCGATTTTATTCATATATATGTATATATATATATATATATATATATATATATATATATATATGGACGATATGTATCATTATATTCTATTCAATTCAACAAGCATTAGTTTCCTGCACAAATTCAAATTACAATGTCTAGGCGTAATTATAATGCCCTTAAAAGGGTGGGGGCGCCCGAATCTGTGCGTGAGGAGGTGGTTGGGGGGGGGGGGGGGGTCGGCCTAAAAAGCCGCCCCCGGACACGCTAGTGTATATTAATTTTGTTAAGAAATAACGCCCGGAGCAATTATTGTCGGGAGCAAAAATGTCAGAGGCTCGAAGCCGTGGGGTTAAGAGCTGTAAATGGTATGTAAAAACATATATTTTCGCGGATCCAGGATTTCTTAGGGGAGGGGGCCCACTTTTTTTTTTTTGCTCCCGAAAATTTGAAAATCGCGCCGGCCGAAAATTCGCTCAGTGGGGGGGGGGGGGGGGGGGGGGGGGGGGGGGGGGGATAGTGAGCACATTTTTTTTTTTTGGGAGGGGGGGCCTTCGAAAATTTTAAAATCTGCACCCCTCCCCTTGGGGCCCATCTCCCCAAAAAGGTAAAAATCACGTTTTTCCCCCCGGGGGGGGGGGGCGGCCCCCCTGGATCCGCCACGTACTGGCGTTACCAACTACGAGGTTGCGACAAATAAGATTATTTCATTCCTTCTGAGAAATTGCTCTTCATGTACTCTATAGCGAATCTGCTTGCACACACACCCCCCTCCCCCCTCCCCCCCCCCCCATATCCACCGGCAACACATGAACCGCTTCCAGCGCCTATATCTATATGCAGGTAAGAAAGGCATAATAAAAATAGAAGAAACATCAGGAAATTCCCTTCAATGTACTTTTATTTCTATTTGTAATGACGAATGATAAACTAATTAATTCCCATCATGCCCCCCTCCCCCAATCTAAAACCTCTGATTCGAGCATTATCGTACGACTATTCTTAAACAGCGCATATAATTCTTCAAAAAAAAAAAGAGAAAGATTTACGATGAGATTAAAAAAAGGTAAACAACATAATAGATCATGTACGAAATGACAAACACACCGATTTGAGATTTTGACACCCGGAAATATCTGCGAACGACATTGTTGTTTCCTTGGGACCAATGACGTCATGAAGACGCTCATTTGCATAATTGATTGACTCGGATACGGGGAAAATGGTGGAAAACGTTCATGAGAAGTTTCATCAAGAAGTTTTCAGACTTTTTTGCGCATCTAGTGTATGATATTACAGTGACCGTTATGTTCAGTCATTTTAGCCACTTATGCATTACATTTTAACGGAGAAAGATGCTTCTTTACGTCGAGAGCAGTGCTTTTGTGGTGAGTTTTTGTTTGTGTCGATTTGGCTCACGAGATGCGAGATGAAAGAGAGCTGAACTTCGCCGCGGCCGGGCGGCTCCGGCTCTGGGCCTGGGCGCTTGGTGCGCGCTGCGACTCGGTGCCGCTGCAGTGGACCTCTTGCAAATGCATGAACAATGATTAAACTGTGAAATGATAGTATTGTCGCTGACTTGTTTTCATATGCATTCGTTGTCAAGTGGTATAGCATCATGCAAAACACTTTATCATGTTTAAATTTTGCTAAGAGTAAGAGTGTTTCATCAAGTTCATGAATGAAGCAGGATATAGGAATTGGGAACCTTCTTCATTATTCACGTTTAGAATAGTATAAATATAACTAAGAAATGGCTAGAGAATGATTCATTATAATGATGTATTACTTCTTATGAAAACATCTTAAAATTTCATTACCCATTACTAATCCACATCGAGTCCTATCTAAGTCAAAGACACCAACAATTCTCAACCTCTGTTCATCATCATCATCAGCTGATATACGGGAGTGAGGTAATCTTGTAGATCTCCCGGTCGTTTTCCAAAATATAAGTTAAATTGACATTTTGCGACTTAAACAGATTGCAAAATGCTTGGATGTCAGGTTACATAAAATTGTTTGGCAAGCCCGTGTTTATAAACTAAACCAGTCTTTGAATTATCTATGTTACGTGCAGTGACTAGAGATTCTGGCAGTTTATTCCATAATGTAGTGTTACCTCTTCAAACAATATTTTCAATCCCACATCACATGGACAGCTAATTACATCTCAATAAATAGCCAATGTAAAATTGTCATCATTGCTCGTCACAGGTGCACACATTCGTGTTGCAATGCAGTGCACTAGATACCCTGGCTCGCATCAGAGCCAAGCTTCTGCACATCCTGTATGTGATGGGTCGGGAAGATCATCAGTTCAGGATCCGCTTCAAAGGACAGTATCTGAGGGATGCCTACACGCTGGATGATTACCGCATCGCAGACAGGTGCATCCTGAAGATGGTTCCTATGGCCAAGAGACAAGAAGTGAGTGCCAGTTTCTATTATAGTTGAGATGATGTTCTTGCAATGCGACATTGAGCGGAGGGCACCGTCTAGCATGCAGACAAGCTACTTTTTAACCGCACATAAATTAGATCTTCCACAGCACTGTACATATATCTGCACAACCTCAAAGTACGAAGATACACTAACAGCATGGTGGCCTGTACTTCAACAGAAGAAGAAGAAACATCCCATTAACTGTGCATGCATGAACCCACAGTGCGTTAATCTCCATTTTTTATGAAGTCTGCACTTTTTAGGAAAGAGAAGAAGATTGGACTTTAATATTCATGTTCAATTCAGATATAAGACAAGGCTTATATAGTTAAATAACAGAAAAATGTATTCTTTTCTTTCCTTTCTTTTCTTAATTCATGTCTTGACCTTACTTGTGGCATCTATTACATGTACACTGTATTTTAAACCAGCTTTAAAAGAGACTGATTTATATAAAATACCCTTGAGGCAATGATCATGATTTTAATTGAAGGAAGCACTGTCCTCCTACTTGATATTGATACAAACAAGAAGACAAATGTCATATTTCGTTGATATATTTTTGATGTGCATATGCTTTTATCTTTTGTTTTCAGTCCTTTGTTAATATGAGAACCAAAGGCAGACATGACTTGGGAGCTGGACAGACTGAAGAGATCAAGACTAGTCTTATTCACGAGGTTGCTATGCTTAAGTGGAGAGAGACAATGTTGGGTGATTTCAGGGTATGATACATTGACATTAAAATTTAAGATATAGCCTCTGGGGAACTTACTGGAGGTCCGGGATACCAAAGGTTTTTCTGTCTTTTCATCCTATCTGAGGAACGAGGAATTCAGAAATTTAATGCCCTTTAAAGGCAGCTTTTAACAATGTTAAATCTGAGCTACATGGCCCTCCGTGTTATCAGTGTCTGTGATATGGTGTAATATTGAAGCCCTTAAAAAATTGCACTTCAAAATGGTCATGAAGTGCTTAGAAAATTAATATTCTTTGAGTGACCGCTTTTACTATACTCATATTCCCCAATAGACTGTACTGTTATAAAAAACCATTAGGAAAATGAAAAATTAATTTCGATTTCCATGCAAACATAAATATCTCGATAATCAGACAGGCGATCGTCTTGTAAAAGTCATGGGATTATGATTGCAGCATGAGCTAAATCCAGGATTTTGTTTCAGAATCTGAGGCAATGTTACTGAGTCATTTTATTAAGGAATCTTTTGCTCTGTCTCAGCTGTGTAGCTGAGATAGCTCTATTCCTGCACCACTGTATGAAGACATGAAACAACTAGTTGCTCTTTCTATGCGTGTGTTCTTTCAAGTGTATTTTCCATCATTAGTTTTTGTTGTATCTGTCTATAGATTAAAAATTAAAATGTAATTCTATTTTCATTCCAGGCCTCTATCTACATAAACTGGTTATTTGTCCTTTTTGCATTCTTCACGACCTACTGGTATTCTGCGCTATGGACGGGAGTGATCGCCCTCTATGGTCTGATCCAATGTCCGTCATACTCGCATAAAGCTGGCTTCGTTGGACCCTCCAGTCTCTGGTAAGACCCAGGACCTGTTTCACAAAACATGTCATCAGTGGCAATTGACAGTTTTTGTTATAAGCTACTGAAATCCTTGCTTCCGATTGGTTATCAGCAGATTTGTCACTGATTTTTGTCTGTTTATAATTGGAAAAAGGCTTTGTGGAACGGGCCCCAGATCAAACAGCACTTCACTTTTAACATCGTGTGTATAAATTCAGAGTACTTTTGCCTTCTTTTTGTTTGATAGAAAATGGAGAATTTACATAAATGATTCTGTATTTGGTGTGATTTTGAAGTCTATACTATCTGTTGAGAGTCTGAAGGTCGTTGGCTCTGTGTCAATTTTTTTTTAATACCCTTCTGGTTGTCAGCAGACAGCTTGATCTATTCTTGTTTTTACAAAATAATGTGTTGTTTATTTTTGTCCATCTCAATGATATGGATAATCAATTTTTTGTATAGTTACAGCTGCAAACAAAAAAATGTGACATTTTAATTGTCAGATACATAGCGCATATCACATTACAACGTCCCTATGCGCTTCCAAAGAGCTTTGGAAATTATTACCCTAGCTTATTTGAGTTCTATGTTTGCATTTCCAGGCCCAGATACTTCATAGCAATCTTCAATGTGCTGACGATGTTAAACTGGGGAGCCTCTGTAGCGTTGGCCATTCTTTCACTTCTATCTGTCCTGGTAAGTATATAGTTGGATATGAGTCTAAACTGTCCCTCACCAAGGACCGTATGGGTCAGGAATACATTTATCAAGAAAGTCAGGAAGCTTGACAATTGTGCAGTATGATTGGTCAGAAAATAGAATTTAATCATTAAAATTTTATAAAATAAATCGAGACAGTGAGCCAAGTACATTTCTGCTGCTTTGTCATTTAGTGGACACCATGTTTTAACAGAATATGGCGAGTATCATCTCATCTGTGTGGAGGAAGAATGGTGTTAACTCATACTGTAACGCAGAGTTAATGCCCTTCTGGCTCTGAGCAGGCAATAGTAATACAGAACATCATTTGCATGGTGAGAAACTTTTAAAGGTAATACAAAGTTTTGGTATGGGGTCATGAATTTGGTTCAAATAAACATATTGGAAGCATATGCGATCCTACAATATTCAGTGATCATTGTCGCGGTTGAAATCAAGTCTTAAGTTATGAAATTGTAAATAATAAACTCTTTATGTTGTATAGCTCCCTCTCAAGGTCAAGATATTAATTAAGCCATAAAACAATGTTTCTTGATTAAAATTGACCAATCGGCTATTCCTGTTTGGAAATGACATATCACAACTACATATTCTGAGATTTTCATGGTCGCAGCTACCATTGTATGGCCGTAAGCGCTATTTGAAATTTATCAACATTTACCGGGAGCACCAGTAAATTTTTATATTCAATTTTTCTCGAAAGTAAAAATGTTTCAGGGGCAAAATTTTTTAGTGGTTATAATACATCCACAGGGGCATCCAAATATATCAAAATTGTAAAGAATTACTATCCTGCCTATTTTCAAAATTTCCCAAAACTTTGTATCACCTTTAAGCATAAGTCTTATTGATGAGCCTATACTGTATTCGCAAATCTTTTATTTATTTTTCAATCTCCAACTTCCTATCAGAACTTTGACTGCACTCCGATCGATGACGACGATGATACATGCAGTCTCCTGTATGTGAACATCATCTATTCTCTGGTCTTCTACGGTCTCCACATCATCTACATGTTTGGGATCTGGTCGGCAGGATGGTCCCTCTTCTACAACTTCCGCTTCGAGGTCGGCGACTACCTGGAGAAGGAGCTCGTCATCAGCCGTGATGTTGAGAAGGTCATCGAGATTGCCAAGAATGGAAGGTTAGTTAGCCTTGCTACTTTATCATGAAATCTGAGATTAGTGTGTGTTTTTTTTGCAGGATGGGATATCAACACCTTTACAACAAAAAAACTTTTCATGTACCGTACCTATCTTCAGAAAAAAATATTTGACTTTTTTTTTTTATTAATTTTTTTTTTATTTGTTTATTTATTTGGTTATTGTGAATTAGTGACCACATTATTTCCTGTGCAATCTCCAGCTCCTGTGTTGTACCTAAAACCAAACGTCTGATTTTGCGGACACTTATTATTTGTTGATCCCAGGTTGAAGGAGCAGCGGCAGGCTGCCTTTGAATTGGCAACACTCGCCACAGCCGGAGATGATAGCAAGTTCAGGATTGTGGCAGAAGGAGGGTAAGAACTCATTTCTAATTGAAGCTAGAAAGTAATAAACACCGGGTATTATGAATCAGGACCGTGTATGTTGATGGAAAAAAAAAACAGATCAATTTTTTTTGAATACTTCTTTTTGGAATACTGAAAAGTAAGGGTGGTCTCTTGCATGTTTAGCATAACAAAAGTGTTGAATGGTGCTTAAATCAATACTTGAAGGAATTCAACCACTGTGGGATATAGTGATACTGTAAAACTAAAATGGAATTAGCAAGTGGTCAAACAGTACATTTGAATTTGAAAGGCTATATCTTTCTTTTAATTGCATGAGGACATAGATGTACTAATTTTGTTTGTTTGATGATTGTTTTACATGACTGCTAAGAAAGCATGTTGTCTACTTGTAAGTAAGCAACCAGGAGACAGACGGCTTTAAGTCCTCTCCAAAGGACTATATTACTTACAATACCATTACTATTACTTTTACTTCATTATTAGTGTCTACAATATCAAGATAGTTAATGAATGAATGAAATGTCTCCATCTCTGTCACTGCAGGTTAGAGGTTCTGATCACGCTTGGATTGTCATCCGATGAAGCCATTCAGGAGTATGCCACCGAGGCCTTGGCTGAGCTTCTTATTGTCCCTGCTATCCAGGTAAGAAACATCTCAACTTACACTTATGTAACCAAGTCAACACTGTCTAAAAGATGGGGTTGCTTTAGTTTAGTAAAAAAAAAAGGGCCATTAGCTAGTGTAGATAAACTTCTTGTCTGTTATCTTATGTTTGACTGCAGGGCGAAACTAAACCCAATGATATGTCTGTATATGAAGAGCTTAATTACAAAAGGAGCTAAATCTGCTTTTAATGAAATTTAGTTATTGATACCAGAACATTGTGCACTTAAATACCCGTCTTTTAACAAAATTATTTACCGGTACCTAAAATTTTGGAGCAATTATGAAAAAATGCACCTTCTAATATTACTTTTCCATAGATGCCCGTACAAAATCTGGCAAACAATTTCCTTTTCTCTCTGAAGTTACAAAAATGGATTTAGCTCCTTTTGGAATTAAACTCTTCATATTTGCTATGTAGAGGCAATATTATAGCTCCTTGGACACTTGGACAGCTTCCTTTTCAAGAATATATCATTTCCAAATTTATCATGTATCCTAAATGTACTGTAAGTAGTTTTGTTAGTGTGTAGTTGTTGTTTTTAATAAGGTGGGGGGGGGGGGGCATGAGGGTAGGGTTTGGAATAACGTAGGGAATAAACTACTATTAAATTGAAGTAAATTGAACAAATATATATGTTTTGGAAAAATATTGAACATATATCTTCTTCCCTTTACCACAGGACCAATTTGTAGAGAGTGGTGGCATACGAACTCTCACCACCCTCCTCCATTCACGCAACACTCGTCTGGTCCAAGAAGCGATCACCGCTCTATCCTACATCGTCTCAGACTCGGAAGACAACAAGCATGCTGTGATCTCAGACCGTGGCCTGGAGGACCTGGCCCATGCAGCTAGGACTGGATCCGATACGACCAGGCGATATGTGGCCGGGATCTTCTTGGACCTGGCCTTTAGTGCAGAGATAAGAAGCCAGATGGCTAGCATGATCACTCCAAGTAAGTCAAAAATTCTGAACATATTTGAACTTTGTTGGTTTACCAAATTCATTTTAGTTGGTTTTCAGTCGATTCATATTTTCTGAAGGGATAAAATCCAGAGCCAACATCAATAGCAAAGTATTGTACAGGGTTTCTTTGTGATTCAGTATCAGTATCAGTTCTTTCATATATTTATAAGTTTTGTGTATATTTGTTTCAAAGGAAACCGATGCTAATACTGAGATTAAGTCTTGACTTTGATGACTATCTGTCTCAAATACACTTGTCAACAACAATTACTCTCATTTGTTATGAAAAGTTGTTGCGGTACTGTCAAGGATTTGAGTTTCTAAACAGACAAAAAAACTTCTTCATCATGTCATTCAACTCATCCCATCTTTCTACCCTACTTGATAGATCTAACTTTAAAGGGGGTGTAGCATGACGAGACTACGTGTCTTACCCGTGGCCTGACGCGACCGCAGTATTCACGCACGTGCAACATACGCAAAACCGTAGCGTGAGGAGACCGTTAATCAAGTTCATTTGTTTACGTGCAGTTGTCCAGAAGAAGCCGTAGATGGCGTTAACCAGTATTTGCCATGTTGCACCCCCTTTAAATCTCGTTGCTGCTCTTCTGCTTTTCCCACCAGCTGGTGCCCTTGTGTCACTGTGTACCAGCCAAGATAATGAGACTCTGCGTCTCGCTCTCCAGACCTTGGAACTCATCGCTATAGAGAGCTCTGAAGTCATTCTGGAACAGGTCAGTTATTTTAAGCCTGTCTGCACTAGTTTGGCCGGGGGATTAGACCTCCCTGCAAGGTCACTGAGAGGTGGTTATCTCATCAAATCAGCTCTCAATTAAATAAGAAAAAGGGGATCTGGTACCAACAGGCACCAGTTAGGTATTGTTTGCTATATAAAACAACTTGATTTGAAAGTTAATGCATTCATCATGTAAAACATTTTATCCTTGTATTTATATTTTTAATTGGATCAATATCATCTTCTCTTTATTAGGGGAAATTAATGGTACAGTTGTGATTCATTAGTTAAAGATTTTTGTGTTAAATTTTAATGCAAGGAGTTTGAAATGATGTTTCGTGTGTTTAGAACAAACCTGTAAGCAAATTTGACTGCCGTAAAGTGTGTGTAGGTGTGTTTGACAATTTAAGTTATCTTCAGCAGGGGGGGGGGGGGGGGGGTAGTCAAGTTGTTGCCACTCGGGTGTGATTATACCACTATTTTTACTGACATTTTAAAAACTAATATGTATAATTTTTTAATTGGATTGCAGGAGGATCTGTTGCCGAATCTGTTGAACATTACCAGCAACAGCTTGGACGCTGGTATCTACCTCCTGGCAGGCAAGATCCTACTCTACTTTGCTGAGAACGTTGAGGTGAGTTTCAATGGTCACCAGATTGTATTTTTGTTGTTGTTGAAAATTACCATCAAAGAGATCGAAGATTAGATTTAAAAATCAATTGGCCTGCACAAGGAAATCAAGGAATGTAACATGTTTATGAGGTACATGCGTATCTGTATTTGTTATGCCATTTCAAGGCTGAAAGCATTGAATTGAAGCTTCGATCATCCTCCCGAATATGAAAATGTAGCATGATCACTGTCTTGGTGACTTTTCATTCATGTAACATTAGTGTTAGTTTGAGATTCTCCATTTTATATCGCAACCCTTATTATATGCAGTTTTGAAACAAATTGTCTACCATTAACTATAAATGACAGTAAGCTAACATATAGAAGAATACAAAAAGGTGGACAATTTCCAGGGATGCCAGTTTTCAGGCAATATCCTGAATTCAGGCCCTGGCGAGATAATATCACACTATGTAGTTTAGGCTTTTTTGTGTACAAAATAGCTGATTTTAGGTAATTTTCAGGCCCTCTGATCAATTCTAACTGGCATCCCTGAATTTCAAACCCTTTTGTAACAAATATTGGAAATGATCCGAATTATGTAATGAGTATTCAAAATTCTATTTGTAAGCATGCCATATAAACTCCTCTTTTTCCCTCTTTAGTCTTGTGATAATCTGCTCTCTCAAGAGAGTCTAACCAACACACTGACTCAGTTTGTACAAACCAAGGAACCAACGCTACAGAAGGTTGTCACCAAGATCATCATGTCTGCTACAGAAGAGAGAAACTTAGCGTAAGTTGAAATTTCTGAATGCATCCGTTGAAAGAAGTCTACATACAATGATATATTTTCAACAAGTATTCTAGAACTGTTTCTGTGTATTGAATGTAGAATATCATATTTTTCCCCTTTTTAAACATTTTACTTTTTGATGCTGTAATTTATGCCATTAAAGACTGAGGGATATTGGTTTATTTTGATTTCTTCATCAAGGCTACGACAAACCTTACAGTGCAACTACAACCGGATTTAAAAAGGCATTGTTTTGATGGTTAGTTGTGCATGATATCAGTCTTCCTAAGTGTTATCTGTAATAGCCAAGGTATAATGAGCTTTGCAATGAGAGAAGATGACCAACTGGTGCTGCATTAAAATACATGCCTTATGACTTGCACAATTATCCCATGGTCTGGTTGTTTTCAATCTTTGCTTTCAAACTCTTTGTCTGTATTGTTTGTAGAATAGAAGCTTTTGTTATGTAAACTGTATTTGTTGATTGCTACCCACAGACTGAAAGTGAAAGACCTTCAGCTGGATGAGATCCTGGTCTTGATGCGTGATAACAGCGGAGACCGCGATGCTTGGAACATGGCTGATCAGGGTATAGCCATCTTCCAGGACCCCACCTACCCTGACAACGTGATCAACAGGATGGAGCAGGCCACTACGTCATCGGACCACAGCGGGTCCAGCATGGACGTACGCAAGGTGACGGCCCTCAACTGGGCCAGCCCCGAGGAGAGAAAGGCAGCGTTGGCGTCTCCCGCTCCGGCGTACAACGAGGAAGACATGGATGTGCGGAAGGTGACGGTGCCCTCGTGGGCCAGTGAGGAGGAGAGGAAGATGGCGCTGGGTTCCGCGAGCTCGCTGCAGAAGGGCGGGGCGATGGGTGGGGTCGATGATATGCCCGGTTCTGCGGGATCACTGAGAGCTCGCCATAAGGAAAAGAAATAGGTGTCTGCACAAGCTCTGTCATTACATACTATGTAATTAAGAATGCCACAGATATAACTCTGAAAGACTCTCTTGCTGAGATCAAACTAGGGCATCGATTCAATTTTCCGAGAACAAATCATTAATCTTCTTTTTGTCAATGTAGATGTGTTTGTATTAACCTGCATACAGATCAATAGGTGATTCATTTCCTTCACATATTTTTTGTAATAACTAATTTATTGTGGTCTTTGTATCTGCCTATCGAAGATAAAATTGCTGTGCCTTACTTTTAAGTTTCACCAACAGCAAGATTCAGAAATATGCACATATTGTGGCTTAATTTTCCTCCTTCTATTAAAATTCAATGAACAATTTGAATTTATATCAACTCAAGCAATGGAAAACATGAACACCTTTGTCACTGATTGAAACATCTATCCTAGGCAATTTTTTTGTCTTGACATCAAGAAATCGTGTATGTATGAGATGACTATCAAACTAAAATGTATAGCGTTGTGTGTGTAATGTGTGCTGTTTATGTAACATAGTTTTGTCTCACTTTTATGTAGAAAGGTACATTTAAAGAGTACTTTTATTGAACCATGTGATTTCATTCATTCCTGAAAACAATATCAACCTTGAAAGTCTTGATATTATAATAAAAATATATTAGGATTTATAATGCAGAATAGAATCAAGAACATCAACAAAAACTTGGAATGTATAATTCCGAAAATCTTTTGAATTCAAAATCTATCAAATGCTATCCTGGCCGTCAGAAAATTTTTACTGAATGAAAATTACAAAATTGATTGAAATATGGTCGATTTATTTCATGTTTTTTACATGTGTAAATAAGTGTTAGTTTTGTGGTGTGTTTTGTAATGTAATAAAATTCTATACAGAGTTTTATGAAATCAAATGTGCTGTCTGTAAATCTCAATGAAATAATAGAGCTGTAAATATCTTGAAATCTTTATATTTAACGATGGAATCATGTCTTTCAGGTGTGTATATGCTGTAGATACCATACTCGTTTATTCTTAAATGTCAATGAAAAAAGCAACTCTGGGTACCCATTAACATCTGACATAATCAGAATTTGATTAGATTTAAGAAGAAATTGCGATAGAGTTAGGGAAAGAGGCATTAAACTGTGAGGCTATTTGGTTTCAACAGTTTTTCTCTATGCACTAAACAAAGCTTACCAGACCTGGTTTTACAGAACATAATCCTGGTGTTATCACAACTTTCTTATACGTAGAATGTAATACTAAAAGGTTTCTCCCAGCTATTTTTATACCTCTTTGTGTGTCCTGATTGTTATATCACCATGTCTTTCTTCAAGCCTTGATTGACCTATTTTCCGTCCAACTACATTTTGTATCATACTTTGTACTAAATTTTGAAATTTGAGTATATATAGAATAAATTAATAAAATCTCATTTCATTTAAATTTGATGTAGACTTCATGTGCATTCCCTTGTCCACATTCAGGCATAAATTATCTAGACATGGATAATCAATGGTTTTACGATGATCTTAATTACAGAAGGGTTGAGCATGACTTTTGCCAAGACTATGGAACCTTGTTAAAACAAACTCCTCAGGATCAACCTTGCTTATAGTGAACCTTGTTTAAACCAAGGATATAAAATAATTTATATATACCTCACTTAAGTAATCCAGCAATCTGATTGGTCGAAATTGCATTCATAAACTTTAACTGTTCCCGAAAATTCCCGGTAACCATGGTTAAAAAACAGTTCAAAATCCCAATAACCATGGTTATTGGGAAAATAGGTCAGTCTCCATGGTTACCCCATAGGTTTACATGTTAAAAAAATGGTCTGAGCGATCAAGGATACCGTATGTGTGCGAAGAATTGGTCGGTAATTTCAATACAATTGAATCTTGATCGATCTTACCGACAATTTTATCTTGCATTGTTGACATGAAGACGAAAATAAACTTCCAAAAAAAAAAAAAACAACATCTGCCGATAGATCTTGATCTAAGTTCGTGCCATTATGTATTGCAAAAGTAAAAGGGCCCGTTTAACGGAGCAGCGGCGAAGCCGTTTTCAATCCATTTTAATGTATATATTAGAGAAAACTGCTATGTATGGTGACAGAGCGCGCTGGCCGAGCGGTTTAAGGTGCTGACATCAATTACATCACCTTTTGTACGCAAGAGATCGAATCCCATCTTCAACAAAAGTTTTTTTCTTTTTTTTCTTTTTTTTCGGCATATAAAAGTATTAATGACTGCTTTAATATTCGAGAAATAGTTGCTTTTATATGCTCTCGGGAAGGTTACAATTGGGCTATTGCCCTCGGCACGCCTCGGGTAATAGCACAATTCTAACCTTCCCTTGAGCGTATAAAAACAACTATTTCTCTCAAAGCAGTCATTAATACTATAATATTACTGTTATTAGACAAGAAAAAATAGTTGGGATGGGCAAAATTACCACCGTTCATACATCTGACAAACATCACACAAATTAGGAAACCAAGATAAAGGAAGGATTATTGTACATAGTAATAACTTTATTATTAGTTTCCAGCATCACCATTCAAAACTCTAGAAAGAATTTTTAAGAGAATTTCCAATTTGTTTTTTCTCACAAAATACACATCAAATTACCCTCATATGGGTGTGTAGAAAAAAGCAAAGAAATTCTCAGATTCCGAAGATGCCCTACTCATAATTAAACTAAATTACACTAAATTGAAATGATAGATACAAAATGTGATCAAATTATTGTACATGTTACAAAATAAATTAGTCATATGCAGTATCTGTGATTCTAACCAATGATCATTTCTATTGACAGTTGAACACAGATATAACATAACCTTGATGTATTATACAGTCTTTTTATAGAAAGGCCAAGACAAAAGTCTTCAGTTCAATGGATAAATCAAATATATACATGGTTTAAGGAAACACAACATATTTTGTTGAGATAGAAAGCGATTTTGATTAGCCTATCTATACACAGCAATAAATGAATTTGTGCAGACTTACTACACCTGGATAGAGAGAAACAACCATTGATGCAATGCCTTGTGGAAAGGCATACACAAGAAAGGTTGGGCTAGGATTCAAAGTTGATCTTCGATTAAATATCCAGGAAGATACCCAATCATTATGTCAGACATTTAAAATTATATTTAAATAATGCAAAAGGCTACCACCTACATGGCTCAGCTAGAAACTCACATACTAAGTTTGAGAGCCCAAATAATCACAATGCAAAATCCATAAATAAAGAATAACCACAAATACATATTTTCTCTATTTCTTTTACAAAACACTGGTTTTAATGAAGGACACTAAAATAAAACCCAGATTTGCTATACCATTCTATAAAATCTGAAATTTAAAATATAACCTTTCATCAACGATAAATTCATTATTCATTTTCACATCATTCATATTCAGGAGTATTCATTTTTGTTTTAAAAAAAAAAGGGAAAGAAGACATGATCATTTGTCCTCTTCTTAATCAAAATGGTTTATTTCATGAAAACGACAGTCTTAGAGAATTGGTAACCATCCATGCCCAACTGATATTAATCCATCAATTTTGTCTTGTTACTGAGGGTTCTTACTTTTAGTTGGCGGTTGGGAGAGGGGAAATACCCATATTGTCATTTCAACAAAAAATGTTCATTTTATCTCATCAGTATGTACAACTCTTTTTATCTTGCAAATATTTGCTCGATTCACAATCAAAATTGAGAAAATAGAATGTCATTCAGGGATATTCGCTAATTCGCTAATACTTGGTCGATAGACGTGTATTCGCAAGGTTTCTTTATTTCTCTAGATTAAATGTCACACACACATATTTAAAGACAGGCACGTGATTTAACTCCTCATTCCTGTCCCTATACTCACAGCACTAAAATCAACAAAAATAATCCACATCTTATGATTTATTTACACTGCCTAGATCAAATAGGTCAAAGGTCATCATGAGTTCCGGTAATGATGGAGAATAATTTCTCTTAAAACAAAACAGAACTAGCACTTTAACCACTACCGTAATAATAATCTGCCTATTAAACGGCTCTGGTAGAAAATATGTCATAGCAGATTAATAAATAACGCAAGAAAAGAAAATCAAATTAGTTTCAAATGCAAGTGCAACATGTTGGTTCCACGTAAGTGCAAATACAAGTTGTCATTTGTAGCGAATGTAATTTCTAGGCAGTGTTAGTATTTTGCTGTCTAAACAATCCACCTAAACCTATTGCATGATTCATACTTATATTTAGCCATTTCGTCCAAAAAATTCATTACTAGAACTCGAGATTAGCTTTAACACTGTATTCGATAGAATACAGAATGGGCCTATTTTCTACAGAAATTTTTCAGATGAAGATAGCTGCAGATATACCACAAAAGATGTCCTAACAAGAAAATGAAGGTATTTTGGATCTACTTGTTGCTTCAAAGTATCCTATTTATAAAATAATAATACTTTTGTTAAAAGATTATACTTTATACTCCAGCATTTATATGCTTGCTTCAATCATAAAATTCATAAGTATCAAATTCTTGAGCCAAAATGTAAATATCCATAGTGAATTTCTCTACAGAAAACATGATACTATAAATGATAAACAAGCAACACAATCATCTTTTTTCTTCTAAACACTTTTTATACAGGGTATAACAAAAAAAGGCTGCCCATCGAAAATAATCTACATTCAACTTTCAAATGTATTAATTGATATCAGAAACTAATGACAGCATTATTGAGTAACACAAAATATATATATATATCTATATATTTTTCATATTCCACTTCTGCAAATTACAGAACGAATTTGTAATACATTCAAATTTCACTAAATCAAAACATACCTCATTATATTAGACCACTAAATGATACCTGAAGATAAAGTGTCAAAATGATAATTATGAATTATCTATCATTATAGCTCATTCCCCTCCAAATTTGTAGCAAAATGTCATCAATTACATCATAGATAACTATATATATGAAAAACATGTTTAAAAAAGGTAATTGTGTTACCAGTTTACATAATATCAATATGGTACGTAGGTGATCCCAGAAATACACAGTGATATATCTAGCATCAAATATCTTTTGTACACAATCTCAAATCAACAGTTTTTTTTTGTTTTTTTGTCTGATAATGATTTTTGACAGATCATTCTACAGAACATAGTTTTCAAGAGTCCTTAAAAATACATGACATCATACTCCGACACTGAAATCCAGCTATAACACGTCTTATTGTTAGTGAGGCGAAGAAACGCATGGTACCCAAATTGTTAAGGCGACAAATACATTTGACTGGTTGAAATTTCTTCATGGATTCAAATGCTTCAAATCTTGAATGTTCATTGCAGGGGATATGTCAACAGTTTGAAAGCCTGGTTGGTATACCTACGTGTAAGTTTATTGAAATACATCCAGACATCCAGACAAGAACTGACTGTATGTTCAACCCTGTACAAACTCGCATTATATCCTACTTCCGTGGGCACCGAATGATAAAATTTACATTTTTCTTCATAAAGGTTGATTAAAAACAAATATGTAAAAGAGAGAATAACTTAAGACTTGCTTAAATGAATGAGCTGTGTCATAGCTGGATTACAATGTCAATAAAAAAAAAGGGTTGAAACTCCATGACTGGATCGTCAAGTCGACTTCGCTCCGCAGTGCGGGTTTACAAAGTCGTCCATCATAGTGCTGTGCATTAACGTAGCCGCAGCTCCAGAATTCACGGGAGTTTCAAGAAAAAAAGCGAAGTAACCCCACCACTCGTACCCTTCCATCATCGATCCAATCTACCTCCAAGAAATTAAATCTTAACTGCTGTGTGCACTAGGTATTGCTCAAGATTTATTTAAATTTTTTTAATTTAAAGATATGTTTCTATATGTGTCTCTCGACAAATCATGGTTATTACACAATGAGGAAGACAGGAAAATTACTAGGATGCTATATAAACAAAATATCTAAACTTCACTGCTAAAGGATCAAGTAAATCTTTACATATCTGTAAAGTGCATATTACAAGCATAGCACAAACTATATTCATGAGAATAAGATCGACTCACCTTAATTTACAAACAAATGATTTAAGGACAGTTATGAAATGATCTATGTCGGATTAATACAAAATGATTAACAGTGCACACAGTTGTCAAGTTTTCTTGTAAAGGGGAATATCTCCTACATGCTATCTGTTGGAGGCAGATCAGTTTAGTGACAGAAGGGCGTTAGAGCGGTAGGGTTTAACCTCAGCAGCCCGAAGGGGTTATATCTAGACCTGAGCGTTTGGTTATATGTATTGAAGTGAAGAGCTGTGAGGGAAGAACAAAAATAAAGAGTATATGTTATTCAGAATTTTCTACTTTTACTACACAATACCGAAGCAAAGATGTTTGCTGTATTCTTTTAGTTAGAAAAGTGTGTCTCTCTCCTGAAAGTACACACCTTATTCCTGGATGTTGCCGTTTGATATATGCCCATCTATATGTAGCACAGTTACTACTAGTATATGCTTGTATATATACAAAGTATCATATTACCCCATCTGTAGCTGAGCTACCATGATAAGGCGCTAAAGCATGCAAGGAATTTCTTCCTACTGGCTACCCATCGACTTCACCTGGGTCAATAGTGGCAAATGTAAATCAATGTCTTGCCAAAGGACATGATGTACATTTTTTTAATGAGAAACAAAAATTGCAGTCTTTAAATACTGGTGGTCATTATCAAAGCAGGGTCAACTGCAGTCATCGGTTTACTTACCTCACCGCATGTAGGGTGGATACCGATGGTTGAATCAAAGTGTTCTTTGGTCGCCCCTGCCTTCATCGCTACGGCAAACCCTTGGGTCATCTCACCGGCGTTTGGCCCAAGGACATGGAATCCCACTACTTTCTCCTACAAAGAAAAAAATAACATTTCTTGTTTTTGAAGACATTAGTTGACACGCACACAAAGGATGTATTTACCATCATGAGAGGAATAACTCTAAAAATCTCTAATCATAGTAAATAATTTTTAAACTGAAACATTGAAATTATAGAATACTTTGCCACAGATTATATTTCCTTCTATTATTATCTAAAATTAGCTAAAATTGTATATAGATCTCTCAAGCCATAGAAAAAATTCTTAGGAAAACCCATTAGTGTTTCTAATCAGATACCTGGTATGTCAAAAAAGGATTCGCAACTTGCAAGGTTTCTAACAAAAATACTTTTTATAGTTTTACTTCTAATAAAGGAAAACATGGATGTATTGTATTTTTGTCACCCAACAAAACCATCTTTGGTTTGTCTAACTACTTTAAGTTGCTGAAATTATGCCAAAGTACATGATATACTTCCTCTACGGACAACAAACAAAACACACGGTACCAAATTATCATAAATGATCATTATATTGTCTCCTTTTTTTCTTTATACTACAAATCCATGAAAAACCAAATTCACTCTTCCATTTATTTGCTCTCGATATTTTAAAGAGTGTTTTCCTTCCACTCTCCATTTTCAATTTTGTTTGTTAATTGTGACTTACATTGGCTGTCTTGTCACAGATGATCTTAGCATAACAAGCATTGACTTCTCTGTGTGATACAGTGAATTCTAAAGGCTGGAAGTAGGTGTGGTAGACCTGAGAACAGAACAGACAAATTATAGAGTTTTATTGTAACATTTATAAGCAAAAGAGGGCGAAAAATTCATCTAAAATTGTTACGGCACAAAGATAACCAAGAAAATTATTTATTGAAATATTTACAAAAAGCAGTAGATGATCACAATAGTTTCTTTTCTTATAGACAGCAAGATTCCTGATAATAATGAATTATGAATATCACAATTCAATCAATGCAATATCGATATATTACAAATCATGCCAATATGCTGCCAACTCAAGGAGTACAAATCTGTAGTGATTTATCTTCTAAAATATTAACCACTTTCTTACTGAATGCCTGCCTCACTTAAAATTCACAGAAATTATTTTAAAAATCTTTCTTTAAACAACACACTGCATGGTTCGATCCCAGATAAGGCACTAATTTCCTTTGGCAAGGCATTAATTTACATTTGCCACTCAATACCCAAGAGAAAAATAGGGACCCGGTAGGATGACAAAAGCATTTGTGTTGGTAATTGCCTAAGCCCTCTTGGTGACCATATGGTAGGAATACTCCCCCAGGGAGTGGAGATGGTGCACATTGCGTGTGAACGAATCTGATGACCGGCGTAATAATATCTGTAAAGCGCTTAGAGACGGTATTCTGTATTAATCGCTATATAAATCCAGATTATTATTAAAAAGATACTGAAATACTTCTTACTTCAAGGTTCTCTTCTCCATACTTTGCCACCGCATCCTCCTCGGGGAGACCGCAGCTTCCGTACTCAAGAGGAGTGAAGACTGTGGTAGGAACATTCACATAGTCACACTGCATCGGGAACAGAGAGGGAGAGAGAGAGTGAGAAAGGCACAATGAAAAGTAAACTAGATAGTGCGTACCCTAAAAAAAGTATACCCAACTTTAGAAGATTCCCATTTAAAAGTTATTACCTTTGCGACGATTAATTATATTTCATCTCGAAGAGTAACTAATACTCTGTCTCATGATACTTTATTTATAACTCTGCTATCACGGATGACGGAGCAGCAGCCTTATCAAAAAGTATTGTCACATCTTCTTCTACCAAGTTTGGGCTGAAGCCATGAATGCGGGTCAAAAGCCCTTACACAGTATTGTGTCAGTCCGAAAACAATTGCTGACTTTTTCAAATTGATTTTGTGCATTTTTATGTAAAAATTGACAGTGTGAAGAAAAGGCTCAATTACAAGCAAATTTTATGATATTCTCTCTGTCACATTGACAAAATCTTGGCTTCTCTCATCCCTTGTTTAAGGAAAGCTTTGTCATTGAGTCATTAAAAAAGGACAAAGTTTATTAAGGATGCTATCTGTTATGATGAAAGTCTACTGTCAATATTCTTTCTTGCAATTACTAAGTCTTTCATGTACCAATGGAGATAAATATCTGCGCATCGTGTACTTAAAAATTGTTTGATAGTTCCGGGAACTATTGCATGCTTCTTCATGGAAAAACATGGAATAGTCTTAATAAATTTTTCAATTCAATTCAATTCAATCCATTTATTTTTCCTCTTTCAATCATTCATATTTACAATGATGGTACATTTTAACATATTCACATATTTATATACATATAGATCAATTTGCAAAATACAATACATTAAAAAAATAAAAATGAAATTGAAAGGGAAGGAGGGCCGACTAAAAATCAGAGCTTGTAGGGTGTAAGCCCCCCTGTAAAATTAATTATTATGAATTATTATTTTATGATATTATTATTTTATGATATTATTATTTTAAATGAATTATTTTAAATGAATTACACATGATCGCGTTTGATCAATCATTTGATTAGGATCTAGGAGTGAGTTGAATAAAGGAAGAAGCGATTACATCAAACAACAGAATGTGGGTGGTTGTGGGTGTGGGTATCTTGATTGGATTAAGCACAACAAAGAAAGGGAGTAGTACTTACTTGACGAGTGCTTGTGGAATAGAGTCTCTTGGCTAGAAGCTTCCCTGCTTCAATGGCTACTGGTGTGAGCTCATGGCCACCCTCAAGGATATCTCCTACAGCGTAGACGTGTGGCACATTGGTCTGTTCATTCGTACAGGGGATCTTCCCATTCCTGAAAGGTAAGCAACCATTTAAAGTTAAAAGCCCCATTGCACTACTTATAGCTACTTGCGCCCTCTATATAGAAAACAATGCCAAATTGGTGCCTGTTGGTCCCCCATGATCCTCTTTTTCTTATGTTAATTGAGAGCTGATTTGATGAGATAACCACCCGTCAGTGACCTTGCAGGGAGGTCTAATTCCCCTGGCCAAACTAGTGCAGCCAGGCTTTAAAAATCATATTGTGAAGAAGAGAAATGATTAAAGGAAATGCCAAATTGGCCATGCATTGTAGTGATGTCACACTAATCATCTGACCGCCACAAGACAACTGAAACCCTTTCATACTAATGACACATCTGAAAAAGTAGCAGACGACTAAGACTTATCATCATCATTATCATTAATAAGTATTTTGCGTCACCTGTGCCAGGGAGGAGAGAAACGATCAAAGGAAACGCCAAATTGGCAATGCATTGTAGTGATGTCACCCTAACCATCATGACTGTCCGCGGACAACTGAACCCCTTTTCCTACTAATGACACATCTTGATTTGGCGTCACCTGTGCCTGGGAGGCGAAAAATGAACTGAATCACTGTTAACCCTTGGGCCTTTCCTCCTGGTATAACAGAATGGGGGTGTGCAGGTGGACCACTACACCAAGGTTTCCCCCTACTCTTATACAAATAGTGAAGTGGATTCTTAAGATGATGACTCTCCTCTACATGGGGCTTTTAATGTCCTATCTGAGGGGCAGACTGTTTTCCACTGTAACCTGTCATTCTGGTGTAGTTCTCATGAGGGCTCTGGATTATTTTAAAGAGCATTCCTTTTGCCTCTCGTAAAGTTAGCAATGAGGAAGTTCTTAGACATTCTGGAGTGCAAAGGAAAATGATACGCGAGATGTTGATTAGGCAGATGAAGTTCATGGGTCACATTACATGTAAAGAAGGCCTAGAGAATCTTGCTTTGACAGGGAAAATCATGGGAAGGAGAAGTAGGGAAAGAAGGAGGATACTTTGGATGGACAGTCTGCAGAAATTGTTAGAAGAGAGAGGAGTGAAAGAACTGGGACTGGTGCTAATAGAGAAGGCTAGGAATCGAGGGTTGTGGAACAGCATGATCGCCAAAGTCAATCGATATGGCACTTAGAGAGAGAGAGAGAGAGAGAGAGAGAGAGAGAGAGAGAGAAAGTGGAAAGGAGAGGAGAGTTACTTACTTGGGACTGGTGATGACTCCAACCTTTTCAAGCCCAAGCTCTGTGGTACAGGCATCTCTTCCTACTGCCATCAGGACCTACAATCCAAAAGGAAAAAAAATTACGATGAACTGTTTCACTTATCAGTACTGTAGGCACAAAAAGATATGTGCCGTCATCAGAACTTGAGTTCCACAATTGAGATATGTTTGAGCTCATAATTCTGTCAGTCAAAATATAACTTCAGGACACCTTCCACAGATAAGACTTGGTTTAATTTTGCACAATGCTGATAACTATCAGGGGTGATAGTGAGCACTAATTTTTTTTTTTAAGTGTTGAGGGAAAAAAATGCCATCTAACAACATCCCCCCCCCCTCCCTTTTGAGTAAGAAAATTGGAAAAAATTGGAAGAAATCTGGAAATAGGGCAAAAGACAATGCTTACAAGAGCAGCATATAGTATAGTAGCAGCTTGATAGACTTACTGTGTTGCATTCGATAGAAGACTCCTCTCCTCCTTCAGTCCTCTTGAAGTGAACCTTGAGGGTTGGGGGCGTGCCCTCCTTCACCATCTCAATCTATAGAACAAAATACAATCCCAAACATTTGAGTACCTTCATGGGTTAAAGCCCCACTGCACTACTTATAGCTACATGCGCCCTCTATATAGTAAACAATGCCTAATCGGTGACCATTGGTCCTCCATGATCCTTTTTTTCTTATTTTAAGTAAGAGCCGATTGATGAGATAACCACCTGTCAGTGACCTTGCAAGGTGGTCTAATCCCTCCTGTAAACTAGTACAGATGGGCTTTAAATAAACGAGGCCATACCATTTGAAATGTAAAGAGGAGGATATGAATTTTGTTCATCTTTCACGTCTCAGCTCTTCACTTTGAATTTAATGGATTAATTTGGCTTCCCTGTAAATCTAGGAGATAGTGAAAACATAGCTACTTAAAACTTGAAAACAAGAATTATGCTACCAAATTTACATAAACTATTTTTAAAATTCCTTCTTTCTTATGTGATTCTAATGGTAACCCCCTAGCAAGTTTGCAACCCATACAAGGTCATCTTAACAAATTTCCTGTGATAAAATGCACTGGACCCTGTGGACTGGATTATGAGTTTCATAAAACTTATTATCAATAACAAGTTATATTTACTGTTATATACCTCACTTAAGTAATCCAGCAATCTGATTGGTCGAAATTGCATTCATAAACTTTAACTGTTCCCGAAAATTCCCGGTAACCATGGTTAAAAAACAGTTCAAAATCCCAATAACCATGGTTATTGGGAAAATAGGTCAGTCTCCATGGTTACCCCATAGGTTTACATGTTAAAAAATGGTCTGAGCGATCGAGGATACCGTACGTGTGCGAAGAATTGGTCGGTAATTTCAATGCAATTGAATCTCGATCGATCTTACCGACAATTTTATCTTGCATTGTTGACATGAAGACGAAAATAAACTTCCAAAAACAAAAAAACAACATCTGCCAATAGATCTTGATCTAGATTCGTGCCAATATGCATTGCAAAAGTAAAAGAAGGGCCTGTTTAATCCGCGAAGCATCCACCACCCGAAGCCGTTTTTAATACATTTTAATGTATATATAAGAATAAACTACTATGTATGGTAACAGACCGCGATATCCGAGCGGTTTAAGGCGCTGATTTTAGTTACCTTGCCTTTTGTACGCAAGAGATCGTATCTCATCTTCGACAAAAGTTTTTTTATTTTTTATTTTTTATTTTTTTTAATTTTTTTTTTGGCATATAAAAGTATTAATGACTGCTTTAATATTCAAGAAATAGTTGTTTTTATATGCTCTCGGGAAGGTTACAATTGTGCTATTGCCCTCGACACGCCTCGGGTAATATCACAATTCTAACCTTCCCTTGAGCGTATAAAAACAACTATTTCTCTCAAAGCAGTCATTAATACTATATTATAAGCTACTGAAATCATGGCATTTGATTGGCTGAGAGCAAATTTGCCATTGATATCTAGTATTTGTTATTGATAACAAGATTTTATGAAACAGGTCCCTGGCCCTACTAAAGATTTTACAACTATGTCCTCTGACATGATCTGAGACCCATTTCACAAAGCCTTTTTTCAATGACAAATGGCAAAAATCAGTGACAAATCTGCTAATAGCCAATCAGAAGCAAGGATTTCAGCAGCTTATAACAAAAACTGTCATTTGTCACTGATGACAAGTTCTGTGAAACAGGCCCCTGGAAGAGCTCCTGACAGACTAACCTTTGTAGGCACCGCTTTCCTGATGAAGTTAGTGCCGTGTTTCTCCATGTAGCTGCCGATCTTCTCTGCGATGTCCTGATCGAAGCCACGCAGGAGGATGGACCGGACCATGACGGTGACGTCGTTACCCATGCCCGCCAGGAAGCCGGCGCACTCCAACGAGACGTAGGAAGCTCCTATACATACCGTCTTACCAGGGTTGTAGGGCAACATGAAGAGGTCATCACTATATATCACCATGCAAAGATAGAGGAAAGGAAGAAAATAGATATGAGAAACCAAGTGATGTCATGCATAGGCTACTCATGGTGACGCTCTTAGTTCACTCCAATAAAAGCACCATGAATGCAATAATCAGTATTCTAAATGGGAAATTGTATATCCCCACCCCCCCCCCCCCCTTCAACCTTTCCTTACATAGTGTCACATTTATTAATGAATTGAAAATCACAGAACTATCACAGCACATGCTTAACAGCCTCAAGTGAGGTAATCTGCTATTTGGGCAAGATTTTGAAAAGAGCCTATTTGACCAAAGCAATGAGCAAGAAAATGATGCACCTGATATTTTTTCAAAACAAAATCTGTGATTCTCTGCAATTTGGAATGATAAATCACATTCTCAGAGATGCAAAGAGTACTTAAAGTCATCTTTGGCATTCGCATCGTCAGAAGCAGGGCCAAACAATAATCCTGACATAGTAAAAAAAAAAAAAAGGCTGACGAGGACATGTACGGTTGTTTACCTTGTGATGGTGTGCTCTTTGCAGCCTGGAATGTCAGGATAGCGAGGTCTCATCCCGGTTGCTATCAAGAACCTTTCTGATGTGTGAGTCTGCTCCTTACCTCTCCTGTTCACCGTCTACAAACAAACAAACAATCTGTTTAGTACCTGTATAAAAACCTGTGTCAGTAATCCATCTTCCTTTTTAGTTCATGGGAGCTCTCTTAGAATTTACAAATGGAGAAGTGAGCTTTCCTTTAACATGGATGAGAAAGGGAAATTCCAAAAAAGGAAGAAGATTAAATGGCGGGGGTCAAAGGGAAAGCGCCCTCTTACGAGTAAGGTTTAGGGTTAGGTTAAAGGTAACGGTAAAGGTTAGAAAATTAAAAATTATTATTAAAAAAAAATGGTCTTGAAATCTCATAATCAGCGGAAATCTTGTTCCTGCTCTAAGCTATTTTATATTTTCTCCCCCCCTTTAAGTTTGCTACTTGCTAGAGCTCTTTTAAGCCTTTCAAGAGCTAACTTTCTTACTATTTCCATATATGTTCTTTGGTTGTATAACAATAGACAAAGAAATGAAAGAATACTACTAACTAGGAATGTGTATAGAAGCTCTAGAACATATAATTCTTCCTACAGGATGACAAAAGACAGGTTTGACTGTACTAAACCACTGAAAATGTGCGCTGAGGATGTGCCTTTCACATCAAACAAGTGTAATGCCCCAGTACTTTGCTCTAATAAATGGAGTAGCAAAGTACATGAGGCGTGACAAGTAATTACCATCACCTGTCAGTACTATAAATCATAATTTGCTTTTATTTGATTTTGCACCTCCTGTTCAGTTTTGACAGTAAATCTCAAAGAAAATGGCTTTGTTTAGAATTCGTCTAAACCTAACAAGACAAGTGCAGATTATAGAAAGAACTGAATTATTTAAACAGAATAAAAAAGCAAGATAAAGAAATGCAAAAGAGTAGGGGAATTGTGTAATTATCAATAAGGAAAAGGTATAGAGAAATGAATCAGATAAGGAAATGAGATAAAATCAGATAGACAACCAATCAGTCATGACAACTATTGGAAAATAAAGAGAATGTGAGAAATAGCTAAAAATTAAGATAAAGTAAAGCGTGAGAGACAAAATGAAGCAAGATAAAAGGCAAAACTAGCATAGCATCCATCCCTGACAACAGTTAAAAGTTATGGTCATAATAGGAATGTATTTATAAAGCTAGCAAACCATTAGCTTGGTGACAGGCGACCTTTCACTAAAGCTGATTAATCCATCTGAACCAACCCACTCAACTATAAATCCTGTTAATGTTTGATTTACAAAAGCCATTCGATATTTAAAATGGGATCACTCTCCTTTGTACTTTCCGAAAAATATTGACTTTGGATCGTCTAGTTATCCTGATTAATAACATGTTTTGGGAGAATATGAACTTCTCCATCATGTAACTACCCCCCCCCCCCCCCCCCCCTCAAATTAGGAGTGTGAATGATCAACAAAATATCAAGAGGAAGTTGTGGTAACCATACAACAAAAGTATCTTTTATTATAACTAGAGAAGACGGGCATTCATAGTTACAGGGGTACAAACAAATTTGGATCGTTTCAACTTGCAAAAAGATATTTCATAATTTTCAACCATTCAACAAAATATGTAAATTAATAGATTTAATTAAGCTTGTAGTATGATTTCTTTTAGAGCATAAGAATTGAGGATCAAATTTATAAATTACACTTACTCTTCTTCGTTTTTAATGAGTGGATTTTTTCAAAAATATGGAAATGACCAAGGGGTGACAAACCTCGGATCAAACCTGTTAGGTCTTGTCTACACATGACTAGGTAACCCGCTCAAAAACAAACAAATGCAGCAAATAGGAAAAGGTCACGTTTAAACGCGTTTAAAAACGCAGTGTTTTAAATGTGCCAGTCCTAATCTTGTAACTCTCAAGTATGTGTGTATGCATAGGGACTTCTGTTGGTCGGCCCAATCCCCCCATTCCCACTTGCCATTTATTTGCATGAAAGAGCATTTTATTTTGCTGTGAGGGGCTTAATTTCGCTGTGGGGGGCTATATTTTGCTGTGGGGGGAGGGGCAGAATTAAGTGTCGTGAGTGAACGAGGCTATATACTAACCTTGATAGTATGTGCATCTACAAACTCAGCAAAACCATTGACGTAGGTAACATCTTTATCCCTGAGTGCTACTCTGTAACCCCAATTGAGAGAACCTATATGAGCTTGGACAGCATCACGTAATGTACTCCAGCTGTGTTCAACTGGAATGGAAGTAAGAGAAAAGAGAAAATGAAATTTAATTTTTCTGTTCATGACACTAAGTGTTCTGATTCTGTCCAAAAATACGGAGAAACCATTAGCCTATATTCTAGAAAGCGGACTTAGTTAAACGTGGCTAAACTCAGCCCATAGACGTATGGAAGGCCTGGGACCCGTTCCACAAAACCTTTTTTCAATGACAAATGACAAAAATCATTGACAAATCTGTTGATAACCAATCAGAAGCAAGGATTTCAGTAGCTTATAACAAAAACTGTCATTTGTCACTGATGACAAGTTTTGTGAAACGCTCCCCAGGTGTATACCCCATATAAATAAGGTAACAAAATATATCTAAAAAACATATTCAATTCAGTCATGATATGAATATGACAAATTACTTCATAGAGACAAGTTTCTGCAATGCATTAAAGTTACAGAACCATAAATGATGATTTGTACAAGATGAAGAGCTAGCCTAGCTCTATACATACATAGTCAGGATTTAAACCTCGGCCGTTTCATAAAACTTGTTATCAATAACGATTACAATAACTGTTAGCTACTCAAATCATGGCATTTGATTGGCTGAGAGCTAATTTGTCATAGAATTTAGAAATTTGTTATTGATAAAAAGTAATAAGGGTTACCGGTAGGTATAGTGTCAAGTCCTGGGTTGAAGTAAGGAATTTGGTGTTTAATATTGAGTACATTGCATTAATAGCCATAGTCATATATGACCTGTGAAGCTGTTCTCACAAAAATAAAATAGTAATGTCTTATGAAATAATGATGATAATAACAAGCACAATCAGGATGAAAATACCAACCCTTTTCTGGAGTCCCCCAGCCGTAGTGCCTAGAATCTTGTAATGATTCACCTGGAGAAGAGAGAGAGGGTGAACAAAATTAATTGAATAAAAGGTTGATGATTGCTCAAACCATTAATGTCTAAAAACAGGATGCATGTCCATTTAATACCCTTAAAAGGGAAAAGCTTTCAGGGTTTGTACAAAACATAATGGAATTCTATTAATACTATTCGCATCTTTCTCTTTGCAAATACATCGGTTAAAAAGAGTAACCCTGGGAATTTGGAGCAAACAGGATATGCATGTATGATTAAAGTCCTCTACAATAATCTTGACAATTTACAGACAACTAAAAAAGGGTATATACAAGAAATTACATTTTTATTAATCAACTCCAGCAAGTTGCCAAGGCCTAACGGTTTAACAAAAGTCTGAAGCAGACTTCTTTGATTCGTCAACAAAGCGATGTTATCAGGTCAGTTCACTAACATCATTTCAATACTGGTAACAAAAATTGTGTTTCAATCTTTAATAAAAGAACAGTTTTCATTTATGTTATTTCTTTCTATTTCAAAGGACTAGGAAAAATCCCAAGGATTTCCTTTAAAAAAAACTTAGCCAGTTCAATACAGGAAGATGCAACATTAAACTAACATTGTGTTCACCCTTCAATAAAAGAACCGTTTTCATTTCAAAGGACTAAGAAAACCAGACAAAGGATTTCCTTCGAAAAAAACTAAGCCAGTTGCCAGGAAGATACAAATTAAAGTAACATTGTGTTTCACTCTTCAACAAAAGGATGGTTTTCATTTATTTAAAAAAAAAGTTATTTCTTTTTATTTCAAAGGACTAGGAAAACCAGACAAAGGATTTCCTTCGAAAAAAACTAAGCCAGTTGCCAGGAAGATACAAATTAAAGTAACATTGTGTTTCACTCTTCAACAAAAGGATTGTTTTCATTTATTTAAAAAAAAAGTTATTTCTTTCTATTTCAAAGGACTAGGAAAAACAGACAAAGGATTTCCTTCAAAAATTAAACCATTTAAAAACAGGAAGATACAAAATCACAAAAAAAAATGCTGAAAAAACATACTAAGAAAGCACCAATAAAGAATATGGAAGCAAAGATTAAAACAAAAAAAAATCTTTGTTTTTCACAGAAGCCCGTTTTATCCTGCAAAGTGAGATTTCCATGTATTGATAATTTATATATCATATTTTTTTAAAAGTTGAGTTTTGCATACATATTTGAACTTTTAAGAGCCATTTTCTGCTGCACAGATTAGTTTTCTTTATCATTCTATACTTAATTTTGAGATATTGCCCATTCCATTCTCTATCAAACTCACAAGGAAATATGTTTTTTAGGCTTTACACATCAAGTATCAACTGTAATAGATTGTAAGAAGAGTCCCCCCCCCCCCCCCCCCCTGCCTCATTTCAAAAATTTGAGATTACCTTCAGGGAGTGCATACAATGGATTTTCAAAATGATGTGTGGAGAAGAGGTTGCTACTTACCTAGAATAGCTGCTTGATGCATTAGTTTCTTGGGAATGCAACCAACATTGACACATGTGCCACCAAGTCCTGAAGAAATTTATAAATGGAGAAAAGAGTAAGAGAAAAGAAAAAAATTGTAAAATGTCTCTGCATTTTCACTACATAATGATTTTACAATACCTAATACCTCTTGTAGGTAGAAGTGATAAAATAACATGTTTTTCAGCATAGTTCATGTCTTTTGCAAAAATTGAAAAAAGAGAGTAGCAATAAGTACAGATTCATCCTCAAAATGGTGTTGGATGTGACAAAGATATAATGAGGCATATATTACCAGTAGATTTTCCTAGAGAAGAATGGCATACCCTATAAAGTAAAAGACAGGATAGTTTTAAATGTACATTTAGGGTAGATTTATTTATATCAATTTCACTGAGGAAAGTGAAGGCATATGAAACTGCTCTACTTATGAGACAGCTTAAAGAGAGAAAATGAAGGGGGGGGGGGGGAATCATTTACGAACAAAATAGTACTGGTCAAAATATGATGATGAACAAGATAACATAGATCTCGCCAACACAGTCATTATATTTCATTCTGCTATTTTAAAAAGATTGCAAAAATAGCAACACTCCCTCGTTACGACACACATGCCTATCTCTAAACAAGAGCGCCAAGGATTGCAGAAAGGGGTCGCCTTCCGAGTGCAATACATTGTGATTGATACATTAGGAGTTATGTAAGCATGACTGCCTGATGACTGTGCAAATATCTATCCTTCAACATTGTCATCCTTTATTAAAGGTAATCCCCTCGTAAACAAAACAGACAGAAGTTAGGTTAATCTATTTCCACCGTTGTTGGTCACCTTGATACATTTAACAAGGGGAGCTCCAGATCGATGCATTTAAAAATCCATACAAACAATACGAGCATTTATCATTTAGCTCAAATGAGGTGCTTTCCAAATCAGTTAGAGCAGTCGGCCATTAAGCTGGATCTAATCATTTCGGTGCACTATGGACTACATTTACATGTACATGTACACAGGTCCCAGGACTGTGTGAGATGACACTGCCTTGGCCAAGGTGATGTGATCTAGCTTTGGCTCAGATTACCATGAATAAATTCAAACCATCACTGCAATGGTAAAGAACATGCAGACAGGCTATCATGTCTACTGACCAGGAATTAACATATCAACGACAAATAAACCCTGGGGATAAACCTTTATTAAAAGTTTGAATTTATTTACTTTTAAAATGCAATAAATCCTCTATAATTGTATGGCCTATGGTTTAGCATTTTTGATCACTTTGAACAAAAAGAATGTTTTTAAGGACACTTTTTCATCTGCAATGTTTTTTGTCTTCCTAATCCTCCATATTCTCCTCTCTTTTCTCTACCTCACCTCCCATCTCTATTATTTTTTTCTTCTTCTAACATACCTCTATCTGTCTACCCCCCTTGCACTCCTGACTTCCTTCTTCATCTCATCTAGGTCCCCTTTAATTCTCCATTTCACATATTCCCCTATCATCATCTCCACCCCATACCTCAACTCCCTCTCTGTATCTCTCTCCCCCCCCCCCCCACTCTCACCCCTGCTTTCCATACACCCAAACTCCCATTTCCTTCTCTTCCCCATCCTTTCTAGGACCTTTCTAAAGACCCTTTCCGACGAAAATACAACTTTATATCAATGGAATCAATAAAATGCTGAATGAATGTAGAATACAAATATAAAGGAATCAAAAAAATTTCCCCTTTCAGTATTGCACATAAGTGAATTAAAACCTCATTTTCTGCATCCTTCCAAATTAAGGGTCAACAGGGGTCAAATTTGCTAGTTACAGTGATGACCGGCTAGCCAATATAGCTGTGGTGATGAGCCATGCTCAATAAATGCAAATTCATTGAGAATATGCGTACTCTACATACACACTGTAAGATAATGTATGTTAATAAGTTGATAGCTGGTTTCTAAGTCGACAACTTCCGATTTTCAAAGCTTTTAGATTTCAAGTTTTCAGAGACCCGTTACTCCTCTGACAGGCACCAAAATAGCATATAACTAATATCATTGTAATCTATGGCTTACAAGCTTTCCATTGATATACAATTCATCTTATTCAATTTTTCACTTCCGACAGGGACTTTAAGAATAGTTTCCCCCTCGACCACCTACGGACATCCTAAGCATTCCTCGTCCCTCTAGTATCAAACAATATACATACCCCATGTTGTTCCTTTGGGTGAAGGCTTCACAAAGTCACACACAGCTACCGTCTTCCCTAGGGTGGCTGCTTCCTGTAAGGAAACAAATGGCAACCGGAAAGTAAACAAAAAAATCATGGACAACTTCCTTAAACCATGACTAGGAAATAGTTGATGTGTCAAACTTTACACATGTTTATGCATAGGATTTGTCTATCTTAGCTATTTCCTTACTTGTACTTCATATATTTCCTTCTCTTCCTCCTCAGTTATAAAAAGATTTTTAAATATTTTGTTAATGTATATTTTCCTTCACTTCACATTACAGCATGTCATTAAATTAATTACATATTTCTTGATGACAATGTACACCCAAGGTATCAACTGCTGATTCTGCTACATACCCATAGCCTATGAAATCATGGACCATCGACACTGCATATATCCAGACTTTGTTGAGGGTACCCTGTCATAATCTTGGGGAAATTTCCACACACAAAAAAACCCCACTAAAAATGTTTACTTCCGAGATATTCAGCACAATCTAGCAATCGTGTATTTCACAGGGGAAATGCAAATATGTCAAGTAGGCATAGTGGCTAGACCTTGCAGAAATGCAAGATTCCAAACAATGAAAGCTAACACTATGCATGTCTTTATCAGCTTGATATTGCCAAATAGCTTGCTATTTCTGATTAGGGAAATAAGCCCAAAGTTACAAATCACGTCTTTATCAGCTCGAGACTCTACCTCGAAACTCGAAACTCGAAACTCGACCTCAAGAAATTAGCTCAAGATATTTTGCTCAGCGTTCCCGCATAGTGCGAGTCTTTGGGCTGGTGAAGTCGCACCGCACATATAGCAGGATATTTTGCAAACTAGCCCAAGATATCTTGGGATGATTATCTCGACCAAAGATCCCGCTAATTGCAACTGCGGGCTGATGAAGCCGCAAATTAGCTGGATAATTTGCGATCAGGATAGTTAAAATAGCGGGTTATTTGGCAATCTCGAGCCGATGGAAACAGGTCTACTGCGACGCTCCCTACTCTACAGAATGGAAGTCAATCACGTATAGGAGAGTTTAGGATTTACCTTCGAAGCGGCAAGGCCCCCGGAACCACCACCGATGACAATTAGATCAAAGTCGTACTGAGGGGGGCTAAGAAGGCGGGTTATCTTCCCCTCCTTCATAGCAGTTTCAGTAGCATCAGAGCCCCCTATATGGGTTCCTTTGATGAAGACGTTGGGTACTGTCTTCTGACCGCTCATATCGAGGAGGACTTTCTGAAGCTCTTCACCATCCGCTGTGGAAAAAAAAAGCATAAAGAAAGTGCCAACTACAAATATGGTCATGGAAATGGTGTTTTTCTTCCATTATAAACAGGTATTTGGATTATCAATGGAAAACATAACATATACAGTGTACTTGGGGCAAAGGCGGAGGGGGAGGGAGTTTGAGGGGATGGAGTTTGAGGCAACTTTTTTCCTCCATTTTTTCCTATCTGGATCTCACTTTGAGTTTTCCTAAGCTAAATTGATTTTCAATCTCATTTAATTTATTCTTTTGTTTGTTTGCATGATTGCAATGTGTAGACGTTCACACGAGAAAGAAGAGGATAATAATGAATCTAAATAATCTTCTCTTGGATCATGATTACAATGTAAGCATAACTTGGCTTTTTGCCTGTCCGATTTCATTTTTTTTCCATATCTGCTTTATTTTTTTATTATTATTATTGCTATTATTAATATTAATATTATTATTATATTGATTTTTATTATCATCTTTTTTTTTTTTTTTTTTTTTTTTTTTTTGGGGGGGGGGGGGGTATAAATTCAAACATTTCTCTTTTCAATTTAGGTTAGAGAATATGAATACACTTGCTGGTATATATGATTGGCAATAGCACCTATCATTGAATCTATTTAAAGCTTGACTTTCATTGACATTCAATAATTTCCTTGTAGTAGTACATAAAACATGAATGGCACAAAAAGAAAACAAAAAAGGGATAATTGGATGTCACAGAATCAATCAATTAACAATGCAACCAATTTTAAAACTATCATGACGTCACATTGAAAAAATGGGTGTCTCTATTGTTTAATAGTACGGAAGGGAAACAGCAGACAAAATGAAGAGGTGGATATTAATAATTTGGCGCACTACAATACAACCCAGAGTCACGACCAATATTATGCAAGCAGGGCGACAAGCCTAGAGTCTGGCCTTTCGACGATATCCAATATACCCGGGCAAGCATTCCCTCATCATGAAACACATCCAATAAAAGAGCTATAATTACATTGACTTCCCTCACTGAACACCACCGCTTCTCCCTCAACAAATTGATGCAGTGAATTCAGTATTAAGAGACCTTTTCCACTTTTCCACTCTCTCTCTCCCTACGATATGATTCTCAGGTATTGCTGTTATGATGAAAGCTATCTGTCGCGAGCGTCCATACCCCTACTGGGTCAATATTTACCAAAGCGATCACTTTGTATTTTCGATTTTCAAGGGATAGTCCACATTAGAATTTGAAATTTATGCCAAAATTTGTGGCACTAAATCTCATTAATGAATGACAATAGGAACCTCCACCAGCCTTCAAACCACATTTCAGATACATAATTTTTCTTCCTAATATGCTGTACTACATTGTACATGTAAGATGTACTCATGTGCAACAAACAGAATTTGTGGACTTAGCGGATTTATTTGTAAAAAGGATTTTAAAATATTACCGTCAACTGGTAGTGCTTATGTCCTATCACACCTAAAAATAGATTTTGTTGTGTGTCAGACTCTGAAAGCTTATCGGTATATTGAATTACCCTTTTTTATATTTTTAAACTGTAATGAAATAAGAAGGTCTTTCCATTTTAATACTTGCCTTCTCTTTTAATATTTGCTTTCCCTTTTACAAATTGCTTTCCCTTTTAAAAATTGCTTTCCCTTTTAATACTTTCTTTCCCTTTTAATACATTTTTAAATGAACACATACCATTATCCACAAATATCTTTCTGAATTCCCTCTTTAGAACTTGTAATTATCATGAACTTATTCATCTGCTTCAAACAAATCAATGCGACTGCTTTTAATAGGAAAGTGAAATTAGGCATATCATCTACATTGTAACTTGAATATTCAAAGATGTTAACTTCTTGAAATTAGGGTAAAATCCAAGAATTACATTCTATGTTACGACACCTCGGCTCATCAAACAGCATAAACACGACTAAGCTGCTTTAATCTTACTCTCGCTCTCTCTCTCACGTCCCCTTTAAGCCCTCCCAGAGTGCGCACATCCTAGCTAGAACCGTTATTATATATCAAAATGCCTGTTTGGATCGCCTGCGAGCATCTACCAGGGTGAGATAATTGAGAGGAGTGCGCTCCGATGACTCGGCAAAACACCAGTCCAATCCCATCACCCTCCACCCATAACTGATCTGGTTTGCATGCCAGGTATTCACTTTATTATAATACACATGGAACAGCTTATTAAATTCCAATGGTCTTCAAGCATACACCACTGGGTTTTGTTATTCCAGTAAAATCTACAAAGGGAGTATCTTATTAGATGATAGTTTTGCAGTTGTAAAAAGCACAACAAAGAAGTTCTTGGGTGAAGAAAAAAATCTTTATTCTAACAAAAATTAAAGTAATCACAATTTCACATACACATGTGGGTTATAATCAGAACAATAAACCAATAAAATTCAAGGAAATGGTGCATCTTAATGCTAAACCAAAGTTCTTGGCAGGATAATTGCAAATGATGTAACACAGATTCTTTCTATTTGTTCTGTGTCCTTTTAAAATAAAACCTTTGAACGTACATTTTGATTCTGCCATTTTATAGCGTTTTCAAGGTCTCCATGGCTACTATCAAATACAGGGGATTGATGAAAGCCTGTGAGAGTACTGTTTGAAAGGTTTTTTTGTATTCATTATTTTATAATGGATGCTTTTACATAACTTTTAACAGAAGTATTTTTTGTGTGAATCGTTTCTTGTATGAGCATCAGGCCTCCTAGCGCTAGAAATCGAAATTGAATTCAGCTTAATGCTAAATCAAAGTTCTTGGCAGGATGCTAATGATGTAACGCAGATTCTTCCAATTTGTTCTGTGTGCTTAATATAACCTTTGAACGTACATTTTGATTCTGCCATTTTATAGCGTTTTCAAGATCTCCATGACTACCATCAAATACAGGGGATTGATGAAAGCCTGGGAGAGTACGGTTTGAAAGGTTTTTTTGTATTCATTATTTTATAATGGATGCTTTTACATAACCTTTGAAGAGAAACATTTTTTGTGTGAATCGTTCCTTGTATGCGCATCAGGCCTCCTAGCACTAGAAATCGAAATTGAATGACCTTGAGATATCACAGTCTGATTATGTAGACCAGAGGATAAGGTGGGAATATTGAGGAACCGGAGGAGAGGACTGAAGATGCTTTACAGTTATTGCATTAATGGACTGCTTAGATGAGAACCATCCCTAGTGTGAAAGCTTGGAGTTTGGGATCTCCAGCCTCTAAGAATCTAATGTTCTAGATATTATGTACATGTACCGAGCAACAGCATTCTTGTTATCAGTAATCTTGAGTAGGGCAGCCTTGTTCTGTGTGCTTAATATAACCTTTGAACGTACATTTTGATTCTGCCATTTTATAGCGTTTTCAAGATCTCCATGACTACCATCAAATACAGGGGATTGATGAAAGCCTGGGAGAGTACGGTTTGAAAGGTTTTTTTGTATTCATTATTTTATAATGGATGCTTTTACATAACCTTTGAAGAGAAACATTTTTTGTGTGAATCGTTCCTTGTATGCGCATCAGGCCTCCTAGCACTAGAAATCGAAATTGAATGACCTTGAGATATCACAGTCTGATTATGTAGACCAGAGGATAAGGTGGGAATATTGAGGAACCGGAGGAGAGGACTGAAGATGCTTTACAGTTATTGCATTAATGGACTGCTTAGATGAGAACCATCCCTAGTGTGAAAGCTTGGAGTTTGGGATCTCCAGCCTCTAAGAATCTAATGTTCTAGATATTATGTACATGTACCGAGCAACAGCATTCTTGTTATCAGTAATCTTGAGTAGGGCAGCCTTGAAAAGAGTTGCATAGTTCAGAGGGAAAAATTCGGGCAACAAATATCATTAAAAAATGCTAGTGACTTTACCTCTTTAATGTGAAGGGGTTTGTACCTTTGATTCCTGGACTATAATAAAACTAATGAAATAGGGCTTAATTCTGTCAATGTCTATGAAACAAATAAATAAGTAATGCAATCATAAGTAATGCAATCAGATGTCTTTTCTGGACAATTTTGCTTCCCTTTCAGCAAACTCTGTGTAAATTTTATCCAGCCCCCCCCCTCGAATGTTCATGCGATGCCCCTACATGCACATGATAAAATTGATTCTATCCATTCTGTGTTTGTAATAGAATTCACTCTGAAATAAAAGACGACTAGAGACCTTGCTATTGTTCTCTGACCCATCCACCTGCAGTGTATACCTTGACATTTCAAATATCATTTCTTCTTACAAATATTTGCTTTCTACTTCAAGTGTTGGTACGAAGGAATATGCTTATCTTGCATAATATGGCAAGTGCACTGTTAAGAGTTTAAAGGGAATCTTATAAATAGCTTTTCTAGGAATAATGGGGAGCTGGGTATTGAATGCCTGCATGACATCCACTGTGTGCTGATTACAGGGGGGGGGGGGGGTGAAAAAAAGAAGCTATTTAAAAAAAAATGATTTAGGTCAAAGTGTCCCTAAAACAAGTGTGTACATGTTTATAAAACAAAGAATATTTTCCCCGTCATATATGGTGCAAATACACATAACGTCATAAGAGTTCCCCATAAGTTTAGGAGAGAACGCAAAGGTTAATAATAACACTAATTGTTGAAAATGGATCAGTTACAAAGAGACGTAATATCATTAAACTTACCACGAATGTCGAGTTCAAGTGTCTTATATTCTATTTTCTTTGTATCAAACAGCTCCTTAACCTGTAAAGAAAAGAGAAGAAATGAAAAGAAAATGGTATTACAGCATAAAAAATGTCTCCCAAAACACCTCTTAGATATTACATCATCACTATGTTCCTGTTGCTAACATTCAGAAACCAGATACATTTACGTTGACAACAGAGTTCACACTGATCACTGTATCAACATAATTCTCATCGACTGCCCAGCCACAGGTAATTGACAGTATGTCACATCTGCATTTCTATTCTATTAAAATGTAACATTATCCTTTCTTGGGTTCAATTCAGAGCCGTGACAACTTGACAAGTCGTTGAAATCGAAGTGTGCTCTGTGGGGAAATGTTCACGATTTGGCACTTGAATGTTATTTGCCCAAGGAGTCATGAATCCTACGAGGCAAAAGTGAGATGGACGTACAATTATACAAAGAGGAAAGAGATGCACAGGAAAGAGATGCACAGGAAAGAGATGCTTCCTGATGTAATATAGCAGAAAGATTGGGGGATGAAAACATACGGTAGTTTACAGCAAATTTTCTTTCTCAGCCTTCACAGACACATGTTTAAAACTATATTTGATTTTTAATACATTGAATGAAGGGTATATTTTTTTTTATTAGATACAGATTCCTAATCATTGCAAATGAAAAGCATCAGAGCAACATGAAAGTTGAACGATGCAGGCCTTAACCATACAGATTCAATGAAAACAGGTGACATCCAAGTTAAAGACTAGCCAATGTCGGTTTTTTCCTTCTATTAGAAGGAGCATAATGCAGTATGCAATATTAAAGAATCATTTTAAGATGAGTGGAACAAAACTCCACTACTGTCCAGATTATTTTCAGTAACTGAAAAGTGGTAACTTCAAAGAAAGACAGAAAGACCATGCTTCCTTTAAATACCAAATGAATATCAATCAACGCATCATCAGCCTTCCCATGATTCAACCGTTACGAACAATGCCAGTGATTCCGAAAATAAACCAAACATCTTCAAATCCACTGACGCAGAAAAAGGAAAACTTCTCCCAAACCCACTATTTCATTAACAAAGTCAATATGATGTTATTGATTTTATATTCAGTAGCATTTCAGCCACCCAGCGCAAGGGAAATAACACCATCTCAACATGTCGTCTGAGCAGCGCAAATCAATAGCAGGGTAAGTTGAATGCTCATCATATGACAGACTAGCTCTGCACAGAAAGCTAATAATAGTGACAAACAGATCTATCATAGATTGTATGTGAAACCAAGTAATCTATTCATTTCATATTGCTGATGAACTGAAATCCTATCTTTACCAGCTTTCCTGGCAAATAGCATCTAGGAGCGAAGGATAAGGTCAGGAAAATTTAATTAAGATTTTAAAATCAATATCACTCCAGCATTATAAAATGTATTGTGTAGAAATATTGGCCTAATATGTCATTTGATCCATCGTTATGATTGACAGCCAATTCTGAGTATTCTATAGATATATGGCAAATATTCTACCACATCATGAAACTGAAAGGGAAAAGTGATTTTCAATTATCTTTGCTCTGGTAATGGACCACGATCACATGAATAGTCTGGTAGCTTTATGCTCTGGGGAAGGACGCAATTACATTCTAGCCTTTCAGGAGAAATCATGTACATTTCCCAATGTTTCACAAACTCAGGTGCTTGTCTAGGTCAGAATCGACATCATAAATGCTGGGGAAAAAAATGAATGGCATTGGCAACTCTAGCCAAGCCTAGAGCAGTATATGACAGTCATGCAATAAGTAGATCTACATGTAGCTTCTGTATATGTACAGGTTATGTGAATAAATCTACAAGTACAGAAAACAGCTGAAATAGACGACCAGGTATCAACATTTTGTGTTATTTAAAGCATCAATTAACAATTTGAAATTCAGTTTTCAAGAAAATATTTCACACAGGTTTTGTACATTTTCTTGCAATATACTTTGGATTTACCTTTGATGATAATGAAAAAGTAATGATTTGTTCCTGTAAGCCAGTATATGATAGCCTGGAAAGCTCACTGGGCAATCATAATCTCGTCATACATGTAAGTATGTGACCTTCACACACAGCAAATAGACATCATGTCATACTTGACAGAAGTCATGATTATATGATTAAAATCTGAAGATAGATCATCATGGACTGGAAATTTGCTTTTATCTTCTTCCATCTTCATTATTTCAATATTGCAATATAGATTTATCTGGCAAAACAAAAACAACCTTATAAGAAGAGTTATTTATGCCCCCAATTAATTTGATGTAGATTGCAGTACTCATCTATGATGACGTCTTCAGAAGGAGTGGTCAGTTTTTATTGTGCTTTTATGGTGACCTGCAAATACTGCCCATACTAAATTATGCTGGTCAAATAAGGTTTGCCATTGGTTTGGTTTGACAATCCATTGGAAGTAGGATCACAGGAACACTCACAAAGCCAATATGTGACATTGGTCTCTGTACTCTCTCTAATTTACTCACCTTTAAGTTTCAAAGATAAATTATTACAATGTAATTTGTATTGTTACTGTTATTGTACAGTACTGTACTATTGTATATATTGTTGATTATAACCTACTGCCTAACCCATTGGGTTCACGGGCCTGGTTGTTTGTGTATGATTCTCTAATAAAGACGTGATTTATCTTTTTTTTTTAAATGCTTAACACCACTTATGAATGTGCTAAGTTCCCAATATTATTTAAATAATTAACTGGAGTATCATCACTTTTACACAAGTACAAGCCAGGGTCAAGTTATGAAATGCAGAATTTTACCCATCAACTATGTACGTATTTGGAAACATTAAGATTACTCAGTAATTGACATCTCGTTGTACAAGGTCAAATTTAGATGGAATATCAATTTTTAGCAATTTTCAAAGCCTGACTTGTAGATATTGTTTGTTTACCACTCATTTTACTTGTAATATTTCTAACAGACTGACCCAAATTTGCTGAAAATGTTGCAACAGGAATAGTCGTCTAGAATTTGGCTCTCAATTAATCCTTACGGTTGCCTTTCAATTTAGATAGTGACCTTCACACACATATATGCATGGATTCAGAAACGTCTATGCATTCATTTCTGGGTTGAATAAATATATTAATAAATTCTCTGTCACCTACAATGTACATGTACATACACAATTAATGCTGCTCTAATCAGATAGCATTTCAAGCAGAGAGTGTGAGAGAGGGAGGGAGGAAAGAGAGAGAGAGAGAGAGAGAGAGAGAAAGAAACAGACAGAGAGATGGACAGAGAAGAAAGAGAATAAAATGATGAGGGGCAAGAATAAGATGATGGAGATGGAGAAGGAGAATAAAGAGGGGGAGGAGGGGATTGAGATAGAGAAGAAGAAGAAGCTAATTTCAATATTGCAAACTTCTACTTGACATGCTGAGCTTGACAGCAGCGCATATTTATATAAAAAGTGTTATCACTCACTCTTCTGCTCTGATAAAGATGCGTGGTGTAGAAATGGTAAATGCCCCCCCCCCCCAAAAAAAAAAAAAAGTATGGCAGATTATCCTGCATATTGATAGTGGTGAAACATTAATTTTTCAAATTATCTGATTCCTTTATGAAAGCAAAGACAAAAAGCAACATCATTTTTCATGAACATTGTATTTCTGTTCATTATTTATTATCATTATTCATTGTTTGAATGTCACATGTAGTTCATAAAGAGCATCATCCCTTCCTGTTGGAATATGAAAGGGAACGAGGGGAGAAAGAGGAAAAGACATTGGGAGACTCGGAAGAAGAAAAAAAGAGCAAAGGAGCAAAAAAAAGGAGAGGAGAGAAAAGCGGACAGAGAGAATGAGGAGATGGACAAGGAGGTAAAGAGAAAGAGACTAGATGAAGAGAAAAAGGTGGAGAAAGAGGGAATGAGATAGAAAATGACATCCAAGGGCTCCTTGAGCTCCACACGAAACTCAATTAAGCACTTCATATCCAACTCTAATGTAAATCTGGCTAGGAAATGCCAAGGGAAAATCGGGTGTCTAATTATAAAAGCTGAAAGGCTAGTCTCCCCCTCTATCCAGGCCACAAACAAATCCTCGTACTAATCAAATTTTGTTGGGTAAGCTGATGCTAACAAAAGCACGCGTCAAGGTGGGCTAATTAATTCTGCCAAGTGCCAACACTACTTGGTAGGACAGGATACTCGCCATCTCACGATTTGTTTCCAAACATCGTATCCATGCAAATATGGCCTTGCCTTTTGATCCGGCAGTATGCCAGGGTCCACAATTACTTGTGCATTTCTTGCACTTAGAGTAATGGAGTTCACACTTAGCTTGTCGTGGCATTGAAATCTATCATTCACAGTTAATGCATGTACATGTATGTACTCTCTTACAATTTTGTACATTCTGCTGAACGTTTCATGCGAGCCTAAATTCCCATGTGAAAGTTAATTGAGTTCCATTCTTGACAAGTGAGGTTAAAATGCTTTTAAAAAGCAGTAGAAACAGAGCAAATTGGGGTGTAAAAGGTCCTATCAACTTAATTCCTCTCCAATATCTTCATTGGCCAATTCTCATTGTGAGATTATTGCTCTTGATAAAGGTTAGAATATATCTACATTGTAGAAATGGTAGCATAGGGCTCGTAACTATAAACAGACATCCACAGATTGGCTGCAAATTAAAACAACTCAGGACTTCCAAATTATAATAAAAGTCAACCCTGTGGGGAAATATACAGATCCTACAAACGTCAATTTGGACTGCTGTGAAAAAAGTTACGGTGGAACCTTTGTCAGTGAAGAGGAAATCGCAATGAAACATGTTAAACATGGTCTCATATTATGCTCTCTGTATTCATTCCAAAGGATAAAGGGGAAGGGGAGGGGCCCTGAACAAAACAATAGACTATAAGCAACACACAGACACACCAAACCAGTGCACAGAAAGTGAATTTATCAAGAAATAATATTTGTCAAGAAATATTATTTTCCATCATAGCAGTATCACACAAGCAAGGCCTCCTTGTTTAC